AACTAAGTTAATTATAAATGTACAGTTTCTTGTAAATTTCAATAGAATTTATTAAAAATAGTTATTGTACTCTTAGAGCCCTTACAAAAAAAAAATCTAGCGTGAGTTATTTTATGGACATTCATATTTTTTAAAAAGGTCAAGGAAAAAATTTTACTATGTCTCTTATTTGAAACCAACAAGTTTATTAAAACATGAATTTTTAACTTTTTCTTGAATTTATTATTGTTTACAACATGGTTTTTTATTTTTAATCTTTTTATAAAGTACTTCTACTTATTGTTATCCTTTTTGAAGTTCAAGTTGAATCCTTATAAAAAGCTTTTAATCTTCTTCAGAATCTATAATTCCTCTTCTTTTTAATTTCAATACTAAAATAAAAGTGTTATTATAAAAGTTATATTATGAGAGAATAAAAAAAACCGGAGATTTCTTTTGGACTAGATTCTCGTAGTGTTTTAATTTTTTTATAGTCTGCAACTTTGTTAAAATATAGTAATAATATATAAGAATTAAATACTATTATTACTACTTGTATCAAAATTTTTTTGTTCTTTTTGGAAATTATTTTGTTTATTTTTCTTTTTATGGAATTTTTTCAAATATTTCGTGAAATCGGTATCCCCTAAAATGGGGGAACAAAGGAACATAATTAGGAAATAAAAGGCAGGAATAAATATTAAGATACCAGAACTCTTCAAAAGATACCCAATCATTTTTATTAAATATTTAACACAATCAGCGCTCCAATCATCGGGCACACTCCACTCGCTTTTTCCAGAAACTTTTCATTTATTAATATTAATATTAATATGATTATTATCTTTAATATTATTATTACCGTCAGGAGGTAAAAAATTACAACTTTTCAAAAAAGCAATAAACTTTTCTTCTGTTATTGCTTTTTGTTGTTTCTTTAAAACTGCCGAGAATTCTTTAGTAAAACAAAAAAAAAGTAAAAAAAAAAGCCAGAAAAGATAATAAGTTTTCGGAACCGCATGAAGTATTGCCAATTTTTTTCTTAATTTGGTAGTAATTATCTAACTCCTGCCAAATAATAATTTTATTACTTGAACAATTCATTAAAAAAGTTGAAAAAGAAAAACCAAACAAGAACAAATGAACGAACGTCTTTAATCCACCGCAGCTGTGCAAAAGAGTCACTATTTTTAAGAGCAGTTGCGGCCTCCCCGATAGCACGGATATCCCATGTGGCTTCAATGCTTCTAATAATTAAAAAAAGTTTAAACGGCGGGAACAAGCAGGACGTTTTGCGTACTTCAGGTCAGACTTCCACAAGCGCTTTTGACTGGCTAGTAAATCCAATTCTTGCAAACATTTGCGATCCTTAAAGTTTTATATATAAGTTGTTACTATAATAAGTGAAAAAACCCCTGAAAACTCGCAACGTTTAGCTTTTTGGCGGTATTTTGCACATGAATTTGTACGTTTTCTTTGGAAAAACTAAAAATTCATTAAAAAGGAGAACTAAATATTTTGATATAAATCAACGAATAGTATTGCAGAGGACCTTTCAAATGCTGCTGTATGCCCGTCATCTCTTTCTTTATAACTGCGCTCACTGTCCTCGTCATCGCTTTCTTCTGAGCTTCATAATAATAAATGAAACGTTAAAAAAAAGGGGGGGGGGGTTCTTTTATATTATGTATATAAATAGTACATATTTAAAGCGAACGACAAGCCGAGTTTTTTCATTCGATTTATGATCTACACCAAAAAAAAAAGTGTTAAAACTGAAAAAAAAGTAAACGCAATGGCCAATAATAAATTGCGAGCTTCATAGTTTGACCAATCCTTAAAAATTTTTTAAACATTAACGAACGCCGGTATGTGTGCGGGTCAACGCATCAGCGAGTCTGCTGATTAGCTCGGGATCTTTTGGATCCATTCTTCCATAAAGGCCGGCTAACAATTGGTCCTTAAAAAAATAGTAATAATTTTAATGAAAATAATAATAATAATAAATAGACATCTTCGGCGGTCCACTTTCTTCGATGGTTAAGCGAATTGTCATCCGCTTCGCTGTCCTCGTCAAATACGTGCAATCTGGTTTATTATTACTAGTAAATAAACCAATAAGAATTAATTTTCCAAAATTTAACGACGAGAGTTAAGGAAAAGGAAAAGAAAGACCCACAAGTTATTGGCGAGTTTTATATATTGTATTGAAAACAAACAATTTATAAAATGATTGGCTTATATAAGACACGTGCCGGTGGCCACGGGGGTGAAAAAAAAGGCATTCAGCAAATAAATAAGGCTTTCGAGATGCCGCTAAAAAAAATTTGTTGACAATAAATTTAATGAAGCTTATTACTTCTGCGTACTCCTGTACCACGTGGTTGCGTCTGGTAAAGGAAAGAGATTAATAATAACCTAGTATAGCAACTTGAAAATTTTATTGATAATATCTACACGATTTTTTATGATTTTTAACGTATAACGTATATTTCAACTATTTGAAATTTTTAGTAATATTTATAACGTTTTCATAAAATGAAGTAAACAAAACTTAAAATTTTTCATAGCTCAAAAAAAAAAATTGCTACGCACTTTACAGAAAGAATGGTATTCATAATTCGGAAAGTGTTGAGCGTAAAAAAAAGTGCTGAACATTTTGCATCCACTGCAATTTTTTTAAACATCATAATTATAATATGGTTGAGCTGCTCGCCGTTTTTCTCATAACTCTACAGTAAAAGTATATATAAAAAGTTCCATATAATAGTAATAATAATAATAAAATATAGTGAATATATACTTCAAGGAGGTGGCAATAATTATAAATAACGAGAGGATGAGCAAAAATGGCATAAATTTTCTTGAGCTCCACAGCAGTTTCCACCAAGTCCACATGGCTCTGCTTATACAAAAAAAAAAAATAAAAAAAAAAATTATTATACAAAAAAAGGTTATAATAAATTTTAGTTTAACTACAAAGAAAATAATAAAAAGGAAGAGAAAAATAAAATGTATTATTATATAATAAATAATAAAATTTTGTATATATTTTATAATACAAAAAATAATTGCGAGAAAAAAAATTTATTAGTATTATTAGTATTATAGAAAAATAAATTATTTGTTATATATAAATAATGGCAAAAACAATATTATTATACGATTAAGCAAAAAATTTATAACAGGAAATAATAACAAAAAATAATATATAATTGTAAATGTTATAAAAAAATTATAAAAAAGGGATAATAAAAAGTATTTTTACTTTCATTATAAACAATAACAATTTTAAGCTTTTCAGACAATAAAAAATATAAATATAAAAAAAGTTTATACTAATATAGGAGAAATATATAAAAACTTTACTATTGAGTACTTTATAAAATTTATATGTATAAAAAATTAACTTTAAAAAAAATGCAATAATAATAAGTATACTAAATAAAAAATATTTATAATTTTTGAAATATTATTAACAGTAGCAAATCCTAATAACAATAATACTTTTTATTAAAAGTTTATATTAAAATATTTTTTATTGTCTTTATTATAATAATTTTATATAATTTTAAAAAAATATAAATAAATTTCTGAAAAAAAATATTTCTTTAGCAAAACTGATATTATACTATTTATTATAATAAAATAACATTTTTCATTATTAATATTAAATCATAAATATAATTATTTATTAATTCAAGTTAATATAAAAACATTTAAAAAAAATAATTAAGTTTTTATAACTATATCATTATGAAAACTTTTTTGAAGGAATAATATTTATAATAACTTTTTTTTGTTATAAGAATAAAAAATAAGTAATTAAATAAACTTATTTATAATAGTTAATATAATAAAGTTTACAATAAATATTATAATTATAAATAAATAAAGAAAAATTTTATATAAAAGTTATTAAAAATAATTTGTTATAATATTAAAATTTCTATTATTAAACATTTAAAAAAAAATATTGTTTTTATAAAAGAGTTAATATTAAAATATTAACATTTCTTTTTTATAATTAATATAATTATAAATAAATAAATAAACTTTTCTTGTTATACTCCATTTATAAATACTAAAAGTTAATATAAATATATTTCATTATAATAACATGAATAAGTTTTTATATTAAATGAATATTAAAAATTATTAATATTTTAAATAATTTTCTTATAGTTGGATAAAATTTTTTATTATAAAATTAAATAAATAGTAAAATATATGTAAACAGATAAACTTATTTAATAAGATGTATTTTTATAATGAATATAGATATATTTTATTATAAAAATAACTTTTTCTAAACTTTCGGTAATATAATATATTTTATAAAAGTTATTATATAAAAAATTTGTTATTATATATAAATATTAAAAATATAAACGAGATAAACTTTTACTATAATACTTTTTTTGTAATAATAAATATTTTTTAATAATTAATATTAAATATAAATAAATAAATATTTATAATAATAATTATTATAACAAAATAATAACTTTTTTTTAAATATTAAATATTATATAAATAGATAATAATTATATATATAATATTTGTATAAAAGTGAATAAAACAATTGAATACATAATAATTACAATTTTTTTAACTTCAAATAAATATTAAAATATATAATAAATTTAATAATAGTAATAATAATAATTTCTTTCAAAAATGTTATAAATAAATAAAAATAAACTTTTATATGTGCATATTTTATAAAAAAGTTAATATAACAAATATATATAATAATATAACTTTTTTAACTTTGAATAAACATATAAAAATATAAATAACTTTTTTAAAAGTTATAATTCTTTTAAGTAAACATAAAAATAGTTTATTGTAATAATAATAATAATTTTTTTTAAAATTTTTATAAATAAATAAAAAATATTTTATAAAAATATAAGTTATTTTTATATAATAATAATAAATATAACTTTTATAAAGAAAATAATATTATATTATAAAAAGATAAATATTTATTACTTTTTCAGAAGTATTAAGTTCATCCGTAGCAGAAGTGACTACAGAAAATTATAAAAAGTAAAAACAAGATATTCAAAGTAAAAAAAAAATTTACTTTTACTATTTTTCACTTTTTTTTCCTTTTTTTGAATTATTCCGCCTATCAGCGTTATGACGTTTATAAAAATAAAAAAATAATAGAAAACATATAAAATCAAATAAATTAAAAATAATAATAAATTATTAATAAAAAAAATTAAGAATTTATAAATAATAAATATTAGAACCTTAAAAAAAATTTTAAGCAATTTATATATAATACAAATAAATAAAATATAAAGTTATATAATATATAATTGTATAGAAAAATAAATAATATTTAAAAAAAATATAAGAAAGTAAATATAATAAATATATATAATATAAGAGTACATTATATAAAGTTATATAAAAAAGTAATGAAAATCAAATATTTAGTAAACAAATACATAAATGTATATATAAAATAAAAGTAAGAAGAAAGTTTTCGTAATAATTATATACAAGATAAAAGTAAATAATATAAAAATCAGATAAGAAAGTATATATAATAAATAAATAAACATATATAGAATAAATACATATAAAACAACAATGGATAAATATAATATAAATTAAATAATATATAGTAATAATAATAATGAAATAAAAAAAAACATATATAATAAATGTGTACAAAATACAAATAAACAAAATTAAGTAAAGTTGAATATTAATAAAATTAAGGAAAACATAATATATGAATAATAATAAATATGAATTTAAAGATATATAAACATTATTTAAAAAAAAAATAAAAATTTATATATATAATAAGTATATATAGAAAAAATAATAAATATAAATATAAGAAAATAAACATCATAAGAAAAACCGTTTATCTGATAAGAATGAGCATCCAAAACTCGAAAGAGCACGTGTATGCACCGCACAAGTTCCTTCAAAAAGTAGTGACTGTGATACTTTGCACGAACGTCCTTCACTAACTGTATAAAAAAAAGTAAAAGTTTTTGATATGTTGGAATATAATAATAGTAGTAATAATAAAGAAAACACGTGTCAAAAAAAACGGATCCAAATGAACTCTAAATGAGGTTAATACGCAAAGGGGACCTGAAAAACGGCTTGAATGCATTCATTGGAGTAAAATAAGTTACTGGCAAATGAGTGGCCAGCAAGAAAGAGATCACGTGGAGAATAATGGATCATCAATTCAATGTAAACTAAAATTTCTTTCAATGCTTGAACGCACAAAAGTTGTTTTTGGCCCCAAGTTTCTGTCATTATTATGCTTCATTATTTATTTTTTATTTATTATTTACTATTAATTATTTATTATTTATTATTAATCGCGGCTATTTTAAGCGTCAATGCGAGAGTTTTTTGGATCGCATGTCTAAATGTTTACTGGAATTTATTTCATAATTTTTTATGATTTTTTTTAAACCTCAAGTTAATATTAGAGAATAATATTTTTATAATTTTTATTGTTATTAGTGCGTTACTATTATTTATTGTTTATTATTATTAGTGCCTGGAGAAACGTCCTTATAAAGTTTTATCCCGTCCTTCAACTCCTCAAGAACTTTTAATATAAAGTTAACGTGGTGCATATCCAGAACATGGGCGACTATAGAAACTTCAAAAGTTCTAAAAATAAAATAAAAAAAGTAGAATAGATAAAATAAGTAATAAAAGTTATATATAAAAATAAAATAATAAACCATATTAATATAATAAATAATAAAAGTAAATAATTGATAAGTTATATAAAATAATAAAATATAAATAATAAATAATAAAAGTAAAATAAATAAATAAAATATAAAAATAGTTAATAAAAGTTATATACTAAAATAAAATATTAATATAATAATAAAAGTTATATAAAAATAAAATAATATTAATATAATATATAATAAAAGTAAAAAAATAAAGTAATTATTATAAATATATCAAAGTTATATAAAAAATAAATATATAATAAGAAGTAAATAAATAAAAAGTGAAATAGATAATAAAATTTATATATAAATGTATAATTCATTGACATATAATAAAAAGTAAAAAAATAGAAAAATTAATAATATAATTAGTAAAAGTTATATAAAAAATAAAAATTTTAAGTGAAATAAATAAAATATTATAGAGAAGATAATAAAAAATTAAAAGTTATATATAAAATTATATATTTCAAGTGATACAAAATAAATATTTTTATAAATAAATAAAAAAAGTTATATTAAAGTAACGTTCAAAAAAAAAATCAAAAAATAAAACTTTGTAGCAAATTTTTTAGACTCGAAAAGGCGAAAACAATTCAAGAAAAACGAAATGGCCCAAATATAGTTTAGCTTATCGCTTTCGGAGAGCGTGCCGCTCTCACTTATAATATCCCGCTAAAATATGGATAATATATTAAAGTTTCAATAAAAAATATATAACATAGTTAAAGAAGCAAACTTTAAACAAGAGTGACAGTAAGACTAATATATATAATATTAAAAAAAGTTATAAAAATATAAATATGAGAAAAAGTAAGATAAGGAAAAATAAAAAATATATATAAGTTAAGAAAAATAATAAATCCCTTAAATTTTATGCAAAAGTGATATATTAAAAAATTAATATATTAGATATATATATGAAGATAATATAAAATATGTAAAATAGTAGTATATATATATATATATATAAATTTAAATAAAAAGCCAAGTAAAAGTGAATAAAATAATTATTTATAATAAAGAAAATAGAAAAAAAGTTTTATAAAAGTATAAATATAAAAATATATATAATTATTATATTAAGAAATAAAAAAACTGCGAAACGATAAAAAATTAAATGGCGCTAAAAAGTAGAAAAAGCGCGCGTAAATCATTAGTCAAACGTAGAAAAGATTTAAAAAAGCAAGGAATAGTGTGCACAATCAAGGGGTCAATGACTGACTTAAAAGTAGCAGAGAATGAAATGATAGTCAAATCAAATAAACGGAAAATAAAAAGTTCGAACATTTTAATGCTCCACCAAATAGCAGATAGATATTTATTATCAGTCAATCACTAGGTCTTAAAAGTAATGGGGACCAATAAAAAGTTATATAAAAATAATGCTCTTTTCTCTAGAAGCGAAGTGGGGAAAACATAAATGCTAGCAAATGCAGAAAAATAAAATAAAAATAAAAGCCCCAACAAAAAAATTTCATTACAATGAATGTAAATAGACATTTATTGTAAGCCAAATAAATATGTTCGGTATCAGTATAACCCAAACGGAGTCTAAAAGCGTATTAAAATCGGCGTTGAGGAACTCTTGAACAAAATCTTTTAAGAAACTCCTTCAATAAGAAGAATAATATTTTTATAGCAACTAATTATTATTATAAAGAAAATTTTTATAATATTTAATAGAAAAAGTTTCATTGTTGTTATTTTTGCTATAAAAAATTACAACAATTATTATTGATAATATTATTTTTTATATGAAAACTATTAAATTTATCATTATTATTGTTGTTGCTTTTATTAAAACTATTATATATTATTATTAGTTCTTTTATTGAAACCATTATTCACTTATTATTACTATACTTCCATTGAAACTATAATTTATTTATTTATATACTTTAAACTATTATTTATTTACTTATTACTATTTCTTTGAAAAAACAATAACTTATTTTACTTATTACTATTATTAACATCTTTTTTTCAACCTTACAAATTTCGAAGATTCACGAGTGACTTCCGTAAAATCTTTCGCTTTACATTCTTTACGTTTTTTTTTCTGATCGCCTAAAGTTTAGTACTTTTACATAAAATATAATAATAAAGTAATATATAATTATAAGGGTAACTGCATATATATTTTAATAATAACAGAATTTACTTCATAAAGTTTATAAAATAAATATTATATAAAAATAAAATTAGAAAATAGAAAAATAATTATAAGTATAGCAATTAAATAAAAGTTATAAAGTTCTGTTGTCCTAATTTGTTTTATTAAAGAAAAGTTTATAAAAAAGTATAGAAACTTTAAAAATAAAAAGTTTACTAATTAGCCCATTTTTTAAAGAATGAAGGCCATTCCCAACAAGTACGGCGCTTCCCGTGTTGCTTACCCGCGAAAAAATGCCACCTTATAATAATAATAATAATTGTAATGAAGCTAATAAAATTATTTAATAATAATACCCAATCGTAAATGGCGCTGGGTAAATGAGGCGGTTTTTGATTGGCTTTGTGGTTGGTTCGAGGATAAAACTTTTTCTTCCGAAGTTGAAGGCTGCGGTTATATTATAATAATAATAATAATAATAATAATAATAATAATAATAATAATAATAATAATAATAATAATAATAATAATAATAATAATAATAATAATAATAATAATAATAATAATAATAATAATAATAATAATAATAAGAAGAAGAAGAAGAAGAAGAATAACTATAGAGAAGGCATCAAACTTTTACTTTTATTATTCACGTTCAACATAAATAAGTTGTATTACTTTCATATACACTTATAATTTTTTTTAATGTAAAAACATTTTAGTTAGTCGTAATATTCGGCGCGTTATAAATGCACCATACAATAACACGAGAGTTGGCTTCAGTCAATAAAATAAGAGCTACCCAGTATTACAGTTTTTAAATATAAAGTTTATTATTATTATTATTATTATTATGAAATTATTATTATATATAGTTATTTTTCCTTACAATTTACCTTAAAAAAATTGTTTTAAACTTTTTATGAATAAAAAGTTTTCTTTGGATTTACTAAGCAGAGAAAAAAAACTTTTATAATTAAATATTATACAAACTTTTATGTTTTATATTTATATTATAGTTATGTTTATTTAAAAAGTAAAAACTATTATAACTTCTTTTAAAAAGTATTATTTATTTATATTTTTAATGGATAATAATAGTAACATTTCTTATAAATTTTATACTAGATAATAAACTAAATTAACTTTTTATATAAAAAAGTTTAATGAAAAAATAAATATAACAAGTAAAAAAAAGTTTGAGCCTAAAAAAAATAAAAAATGTTTAATTTTCTATAATAAAAATTATATTTTCTATTTTATTTAAGTTTATTAATATCTTATAAATTTCTTATATAATTTTTTATACAAAATTAAAATTTACAACTTTTTTAATATTATTATTATCCGCTTTGGTTTATAATAACAATAATAATAACAATAAAAAAAAAATTTTTAATACTTTTTATTATTATAACTTTTATGTATTTTTATTTAATTATAATAATAAATAAAAAATTACTTTAAACAATTTTTATATTAGAACAAATATTTTTTTGGTTTTAAAATAATAAGTAAAAAAATACTTATTTTTACACTTTTTTTCATTTTTATCGTATTTTTTATACTTTTTCTGTAAATTATAATATATTTATTAATAAATTTTATAATATTAATATAAAAAATTTAAAAAAAAGTTTACTTCGTTATAACTTTATTATACTTTTCTTTATTTCTATAACTTTTCGGGTACCTTTTGCTTTACTTTTGAAAAATAAAAAGTTAAACTATATTATTATAAGTATAATTCTAAGTTGTAAAAAAATAATGAAAAAAAAAGTATTATAAGATAACATATATGAAGTATAATTTTAAAAACCTACAATTTTTGTATAAAGTAAAAAATAATATAAAAGTACATAAAGTTTTTTGTAATAAACTATAATAGAGATTACTTGTTGATTATTTTTATATATAAAAAAATTAAAAACTTAAATTTTTTTAAAAAAAGTAAAAAAAAAATCAAGTATATAAAAATTTTTACAACTAAAAATAAATATTTAAGTATACAATAACAATAAAAACAATTTCTTATATAAAGTAAAAAAAATAATAATAATTTACAATAATTAATTTTTTTAATAAAATTTTGTATAAAAGGAAAAGAAAAGTATATGTAAAATTTTTTTTATAAGTATAAAAAAAGTTTAAGTTTTTTATTTTTTTTTATATATTTTATAAAAGTAAAACAAAAACTTTTTACTTTAGCTACAATATAAAAATTTATGAAAACCTTTATAAGTATATATAAGGTTTATTAAGTATTTCTTATTTATTTTATAAATTCATATAGAAACTAAAAATAAAAATTCTTAACTTTAATTAAAATTAAAAGGTTTATTAAAACTTTTATATGTATTCTCGTATAACAATAAAAAAATGGAAGCCAACCAATAATAAACATAAAGTTTTTGTTAATGATTTTATTGGATAATTTTATTTCGTAACTAATTTTATGAGCAGACATTACCTGCTGGATGGACGCTTCTGTAAGAAAAGCGGGTCTTTGAAAGTATAAAAGTCCTAAAAGAATAAATAATAATAATTTTTATATATTCTTCATTTAATACTTTATACAGTTCAAATAATAATAAAAAGTAAAAAATATAAAGTTTAGAAAAATATAATAACTTTAAAGTTTTTATTTCTATAATAAATAATATACAAAAGCTTTATATTAAAAAGTGTATTATTTCGAAATAAATAGGAAATTAATAAAAACATTAATAAGTTTCTATATAATTTTTTATTTAATAGTTTAAAAATTTGATATACTAAAAATAAAAATATAAAGTTTATAAAAATATAATAACTTTTATAAAGTGTTTATTTATTTATTATAATAATATATTAAAGTTTTAAAGTATAAACTTTTTTATTCCTAAAAAAATTGGAAAAAATATTTATAAATATAAAATTCTTGTAAAGTTTATAAAATATTTAAAAATTAAAAAAAAATAAAAGTTTATATATTTTATGTGTAATAGTTTATAAAGTTTATATTATAAAAAATATTAGAGTAATAAAATTTATAATATATAAAAATAATAACTTTTATAAAGTTTTTATTTATTTATTTAAATAAAAGTTTTAAAGAATAAATATATAAAAGATATGATTTCGAAAAAACAAAAAAAATATTCATAAAAATATTATATTTATATATAATTATTAAAAAGTTTATCAATATCCAAAAATAAAAAAAATAAAAGTTATTATTTATTTTAAAAAATAGGAAAGCATATAATTCCAATATGCAAAAAGTTTAATATTTATATTTCGTAAAAATATGATAAAGTTTTTATTTATTTATTTAAAATTTTTTTATAAACTATAATTTGTAAAAAATATTAAAATCCCTAAAAAAAGTTTATAATAATTTAATATCTCTTTGAAAAATACTTCATAAAATTTTATAGTGTATAAAAAAAATTATAACTTTTATAAAATTTTTTATTTATTTTCTTATTTTATAAAAATATTAAAGTAATACAAACCAAAAAAAATAAAAGTATTAAAAATTTTATATTCATAATTATTAAAAAACTTCAAAGCTTATAATAATATTACAACTTTTTTAAAGTTTTTATTTGTATTTAAATACTTTAAAAAATATTATATTATGTATAAAAAATAGGAAAGTTTGTAAAAATAATATAACTTCATAAAAGTTTTTATTTCTATATATAAATACTATTGAAAATTATTTTATTAGAAATAGTAAAGTAAAAAAAGTCATGAAAAAATATAAAAAATAATAAATATTATACTTATACTTATTAAAAAAAATTATTCAAGTTTATAAATTTATTATAACTTTTTTTCTAAAAGTTTTTATTTATTCATAAAATAGTATATAAAGTTTTATGTTATACAGAAAAAATATTATCAAGTCTGTAAAAATAATATAACTTTTAAAAAGTTTTCTTATTTACTTGATATTATATATAAAAAATATCATGAGGTTTATGATATTGAAAATAATATTTATATATTTAGATAGTTAAAAAAGTTTTACATTATTTAAAAAAATAGTATAAAAGTTTACGATATTACTTACAATTAAAAAGTTTTTCTTTATTTTTTTCATATATAATAAAAGTTTTATAGAAAATATAAATTTTATTGAGGTTTTAATAATTTATTATATAAAAAGTGTTAAAAAATAAATATAAATAATTATAGATTATAAAGTTTTCGAATTATATATGAAAATAGTATAAACATTATAATAATATTATCTACTTTTAAAAAATTTTCTTCGTTTATTTCAGATTTAATAGAAGTTTTGTAAAAACTAGACATTTTTTATAGTTTTTAATTATTTATTATATTTGAAATGTAAAGTTAATACAAATGTTTCAACTTTATAAAGTTTTTTAAAAAAAATAATAAATATATTTATATAAAAAGTTTTATAAATATATAAAAATTATCAAAATATAAATAAAAAAATTATCAAAAACTTAATAAAATGCAAAAAAAAGAATAAAAATCTAAATAATAATAGCTTTTAGAGTTTCTACATATAAAAAGTTATAATTATTATAAATAAAAATTATAATAAAGATTTTAAAAAAACTTTTAGTGCTTTAATAATTAAATGTTTATAGAATAAACATTACTGTTATAAAAAAGTTTTAAAGTTGTAATAAATTTAAAGTTTATATATTCATCATTATAAAAAATTTAAATAAATATATAACGAATTATAATAAGTGTATAACATAAGTAAATATTGTAAAAAATATACTATAGAAATAAGTTTTGCATAAAATTTAACGAGAAAATACACAAAATAATAATAATAAAAATATTAAAGTTTTTTAAAAAGTTATTTACTAAATTTTTCTAAAATTAACAAAATTTGCATAATTTCTTTTCACTAAAAAAAATTGCAAAAACCGCGAAGAATATCCAATAGCAAAGCGTTATATAGCCGAAGGCATGGAGTAGTGCTAACGTGGCCGAAAGCAACGACTAAAACGTCGAGCATTTCCGACTTTTTCAAAACACTAATAATAACGAAAATAAATTCAGTCAATCAGAGGACAGTTCAATATTTACTACCAAATTTAGAAATTTCAAGCACGCGGCAAATTTACAAAAAATAATGAAAGCAATTAATTTATAAGAAAAAAAAAGTAAGATTACAAAAAGTTATTAAATAGTAGAGGTCCAAAGAACTTTATTATAAAAGGTTTTACACGATTCACTATATAAGTACACTTCATATTATAAAAAAATATAAGAAAAGTACGTTAAAAGATGGTCATGTAGAAAAGGCTGTTTATCTTTTATATGAAGAAGCTGTTAATAAATAAATATTTTAAAAAAACAAAAAATTAAAGTACGATAAAATATGAAAAAGTATAATAAATTTTATTTAAACATGGAAATAATAATAATAAGACCAACTGTAGCTGAAAAAGAACTTTTATACGTACAAACGCGTGACAGCACACCAATGAAAAATTTTAATAAAATTAATTTCCTTAAATTTTTTTAACATAAAAAAAATTATATTTTTTAAAATATTTAATAATTTTTATTATATTTATTAAAAAAAATAATTATATATAACTTTCTTAACAAATTTCATAATAAATAGTTTGTTTTGAAAATTTTTTGCGAAAAACTTTCGTAAGTATACAACTTTCATGGTAAAAAGTTTTATGATATTATTATAATTATAAAAAACTCTTAGCATATGTCATTTTATAATTATAACTTTCATATAATACTTAAAAACTTTTTATATTATCGTATTTATATATAAAGTAAAAAAATTTAATACCAAAAAAAGTTTATATATAAAATACTTTTAAGTATCATTTTTCATTTATTTTTTTAGTATTTTTATAAATATTATAAAAAATAATTATAATTATAATTAAAAAAAAAAGAGCTACCAACTTTTAAAAGATTTTAATAAAAAGTGCTTATATTTTTATAGTAAAATACTATAGTTTATACTTTTTCAATAAAATAAATGACGTTTTTTGTTTTAATTTTTTTTATAAACTTATAAATAATATTATATAAAAATAATATATAATATAAATTATCTTTAATAAAAGTAGTTTTAATAAAATTAATATTAAAAGTTAAAAAAAAGGAATAAGTAAAAATCAATAGATAAAGTTTTTTATAATTATTTACTTATACTTTTCAAATTTTTATTTTGTTAGAAAAAAAAAAATAAGTAATAAAACTTTTCCTTATTATTTAGTCAAAAATATTTTTCTTTTTACTTTTTAACTTTATTTTTATTTTAGAACTTTTTTCAATATAATAATAATAAAAGTTGTTTTATTTGTTGTACGTTTTTCAGAAGCACCAGAATTAACTCCAATTGCTGCTCAGGGTCTACAGGTTCCTCAGCTGATTGGCCAGGAGATACTAGTTTGCAAAAAAAAGTTATGATATCAATGGAGCTAATAAGAATTACTTTAAATATTAATAATAAAATAAATATAAATTATCATTAACAATAAAAACAATAAAAAGTTTTTGATAGTTATTATATTATAATAAATTTATAATACCCCAAAAGATATATAAAAATATACTTTCGCCTTTCTTTTTTAATAAAAACTTTAAATTTTATTTTTTTGTAAAAGTTTATTAAGAAAATATAAATAAAAAAAATTATATATAAAGATTAGTAAAAGTAAATAAATTGTAAAAACTATATTTCATATTTTTTCAGTAAAGCAAAAAAATTAAAAAGGTTGATAATAAAATTATAATAAATGTGAAATTAATAAGAAAAATACGAAAAATCGCAACGATATAAAAAAGTTTTTACAATTATCATTAAATATTAAGTTTAAAAACAGTAAAAATAAAATTTTCTATATAAAAAGTTTTTTACTTTTTTTTTATCATTAAAAATTTTAGTAATAATATTAAAAGTAAAAAGAAATTTTGATATAAATATATTATAATTCGGAATAAGTCAAAATGTAAATTATTATTAAATTAATTATTTCATAATTTATTTACTTATTGTTATTATTTTTAAGTTATTCTTTTATTATAAATTATATTTTTAGTACTTTGATATTATTATTTTTACTTATTATTACTTAAATAATAATATTCTTGTTTATAGTTATTTTTTATAATTTTTTTTGTCATTATTATTATTAAGGTTGATAACCTTTAACAATTTTTTTCTTTATTATTTTTAATTTAGAATTTTTTTATAATATAGAAACCTTTTACGATAAAGTAAATATTAAACAGAATTATAATATCAATAATAATAATAATAAATAAGTCGCAATGATTAAGTTCTAATAATTATTATAATATTATAGAATCAATAAAAAAAGTAACAAAATTTATAATTATCAAAATTTTTTTTTTTTTATTATACATGTTAAGTATAAAAAGTTTTGTTATTTTTAATTAAAAAAATATAAATGTGAATATAAATTAATTAAGAAAGTAATAAATTGTTAATACTATAATTAATAGTTTCCTTATAAAAAAAAAGTAAATAAATAGAATACTTTAATAATAAAAATAATTATAATAAAATTGCAACGGTAAAAAAGTTTTGGATAATTATTAGATAAATTTTAAAAAAAAATTAATTTTTTTATTAATATTTTTTAGATAAAAAGTTTTTTTATTTTTTTTTATTACAAAAAAAGTTTTATTAAAATATTAACAGTAAAAAAAAAACTAAAAACTCAATAGAAAAAAAATACAAATAGTATATTTATGTAATTTTCATATGTCTTGTGGATACTTAAATTCAAGCTTAATATATTTTAAACAAATGTTTACATAGAATTATTATTGTAATATATAAACTTATTTGTAAATTTAAATATTTTTTTTTTGAAAATAATAAACAAAAGTAAAATAAAATATAAAATTATTAATTGAATATAATAAAACAAATTTAAAATAAAATTATTATTTTTCATAATATAATTTACAAGTGTTTATATACATTAATAAAACAAAATATTAAAAAATAGTAATAATCAATAATTATAAAAAAAGTTATTCTACACATATTTAGACAAGTTTAATATCTAAAATAATACAGAAAAAGATTTATTATATAAAAATTTATAAGTTTAAATATAATTATATATCAAATAAAAAATAATAATAAATAATAAAATAAAAAAGAAATTATTAACTAATAATATTAAAAAAATTTTAAATTATACATAAAAACATTTATATATTTTAAAATAAATTAATAAATCCAATTATATAAAAAATAATAAAATAATAATAATGAAATGAAAAATAGAAAAGGTTATTAATTAAAAGTATTACAAAATTAATGTAAAAAAAAACTAATAAATTTATAATTTTATAAAGAAAATTTATAAATCTAAAATAAATTGACAAAACAAATAATAAATAAAAATATAAAAAAGTTAACAAATTTTATATATAAAAATTATTTTTCATAATTTATAAATTTGAATATAAATTAATAAAACCGGTTATATATTAAAATAAAAATAATAATAATAAGAAAAAAAATTAATAAAATTATTATTTTATAAAAAAATTTATAAATTTAATATAAATTAATAAATTATATATAGATATAACAAAATAATAATTTATTAAAAAATTAAATAAAGTTATTTATTAAAAATAATAAAACGATATTAATAGTATAAATAACTTTTCTAAAAAAAAATTATAAATTTAAATATAAAATTAATAAGACAAGTAATAAATAAAACTAAAGAAGTTATTTAAGAAAACTAATGATATCTATAACAAAAAGGCGCTTTACTTACGCTGCTCGAGGCAAAAGCCAGTAGAAATCGCCAGCACTTCCCAAACTTGAAGGTTAGCAAACCCCTTAACAAAAATAAATTTATTAGAACAGAAGAAATAAATATAAATAGAATATTTATATTATTATTCGATGGAGTTTGTTATTAAAATATATAAAAAGTTAATAAAATAAAGCAAAGTATTGTATTATAATAATAATTATAAATAAGAAAAATATATTTTCTTATATAATTCGACGAAGTGCGGCTTAAAAAAAGGTAAGATATAATAAAATATAAAAAAATAAGACTAAATAATTTATAAAAAATTTAATAAAATAAAGGAAAATATACATTTTAAATAGTAATAATAAAACATATTGCTTTTCAATATTCAGCTAAGTTTAATATAATAATATATATAATTATTATTATAATTCGATAAGAATTCATAAAAAATCAAAAAAAAAAAGTAAAAAAGAATAATTATTTTTTAATACTTAGATAAGGATTCATATCAAATTGAATAAAATAAAGTAATATATAACAAAAGATAATAAAGAAAAATTATTTTTATAGTAAAATTAATAATAACAAAAAACTTTTTTGTAATTCGATAAGAATTCATGAAGTTCGCTTAAAAGTTCGGACTGAAATGAAGAATCCTAAAAAAAAATTAATTATAGTAAAAGTTTATTAGTATCAATAATTTTTTCAGTATATTTTTTTTTACTACTAAATTTTTTATAAAAAAAATTATTTATTATGCAAAGTTTACTTGTATTTATATATTTTCCGATACAATTTTTATTTAAAATATTTTTAAAAGTTTTTTTTTTACATTTTTTAATATATCTAAATAAAACTTTTTATTACTATAAAAAGTTTGCTTGTATTATACATTTTCAGTTGTTTTTCTTTAGATTTAATAAATATAATAAAAATAATTATCAATTAATAAAGTTTACTTTTTCATTTATTTTTTTTATAATTACTGGAAATATAAAAGAAGTTTATAGAAAGTTTACTAATTTTTTTGTGTCAAGTTTATTTCTTTTTAGTAAATAAATATTATAAAAAACTTCATTTACTAAAATCTTTTTATTTGTAGTTCTTTTTATATTAGAATATAATTAAAAATAATATACTTTTTTATTATATAAAGTTAGATGTATTCAACGTTTTGTAAAAAAACTATAGTGAAAAAACTACTTTATATATACTTTTTATATACTTTTTATTAGTTATTAAATTTAGCAATAATAAGAAACATTTTATTATGTTAATTTATAAATTATTTTTTTTATTTAGTAGAAAAACAAAACCTTTTATTACTATATAAATTTTTATATATTTACTTTTTTATAATGTTAAAACTTTATTTATTTTAGTATTTAATATAAAAATATATAATAAATTTTGTAAACAAATAATTTATATATAGAATATATTAAATAATTATTATTATTATTATAAAAAAGAAAATACAAAATTTGTATAATGAAATATCTACTATTAGATGGTAAAACTTATCTTATTTATAAATATAATAAAAAGAATATATATTCACACTGTAAGCTTTTATATATTTATAATAATAATAATAAATTTATCATATAAATATTATTAGTGAAAATCTATTAAGATAACAAAATATAATATAAAGAAAGTAAAATATTAATTTTCATATATTTGTAAAAATGATAATAATATAAATAAATCTATATAAATAATATATATGGAATAAAACAATTAAAAATATAAAAAATAACAAAGAAAGAATAAATATTGGTATAAGTCGAATAGAAAACGTATTATTATTATATTTATATAATATTGTTATTACAAAAAGTAATACTAAGTTTTAAAGGTTTAGACTAAATAAAAATTAAAACGTTTAATAAAAATTACTTTTAATAAACATAATATCATTATTAAGTATAATATCATTATTAAGTATAAAATAATAATGATTCATATAAACTGTACATTTATTATATAAAACATATAAAATATAAAAAACTTATATTTGAAAAATATATAAAAAAATAATAAATTTTTATATTATATGAATTAAATTTTTTATTTAAAAATAGAAAATATAAAAAATTTGGAAAAATATTGTATATATAAAAAATATATAAAAAAAATAATTCTTTTACATGAAAATAGTACATATCGAAAAATATAGAAAAAATTTTATTATATATAATAATTAAAATACATAAACAATATTAATTCTCTATATAAAAAAGAATATTAAAAAAAAAAAGAATACTATGATATATATAAATATTATAATATTATTACTTGTAGATGAAAAAAAATTGTGGAATAAATATTTTTAATATAAAAACATATTAACTATATAAAGAAGATAATATATAAATGATAATAAAAAAATAAATATAAATAATAATATATAAACAATAATTCTTCAAAAAATATATATACTATGATAAAAAAATTAAACAATTTTCATATTAAAAAAATATCAATAAAAATAAAATTATAATAATTACATTTAATTCAATAATTAATAATAACAATAAATAAAAAAATTTTAAAAAAATTATAAAAATATGTATAGGAAAATAAAAATATAATAATAATCAATAATTTTAATAATAATAAAAGATTTCAAGTAAAGAATCAAAGAAAGAAATCAAAATTAAAAAATAATTAGTAAAAACTTGAACTTTTGTATAATATAAATTATTTTGGACTGAAAATTGAGAAATTTAATTAAAAAGGTGAAAATATAAAAAATTTATAATAATAATAATAAATATTTAATAAAATTTTAAATTTACTCTAAAATATAAAAAAAGTTATTCTATAATTTATAAATACAATAATTTGAAATTCTTTATAAAAATTGTACTTCTATTAAAACAATTTTAGTAACAAATTTGAATTTAAATGGTCAATGCAAAAACATAACGATTAGCTAAAAAACATTATAATTATTTAATAATAAGATAAAATAAAATAAATTTATTTAATAAAAATAATAATATATAACTTAAAAAATATTTTTTGCCATTTAAATTTTTTTTTAGAAAAAGTAAATCAAAAAATCTTATTTATTAAAAAAAATTGTTATTAAAAAGTATAATAAAGCTTTTTTTTTTAATGTTTTTTATATAAATGAAAGAAACTGAATTAAAAAATTTTCTTCTGATAAAAAATTTTTAATTAAAAATAAATTTATAAAAAAGTTAAGACCAAAGGGATACCAAAATTTTATTGTTGGTTAAAAGTAATTTAATAAATATATAATTATAAAATATTATTTTTTAAAAAAAACAATTAAAGGAAGATAAATTTTTTATTGTTTTTTTATAATCAATTTTTATAAAAAATTATTGCTGAACGGTTATATAATTTTTTTTGTCTTTTATAAATAAATTTAAAACATTTTAAATCAACTGCTATTTAAAAATAAATTTATATTAAAAAGAGAAAATAATATTTTTCTTTGTTAATAATATAAAAAAAAGTAAATTATTAAATATTAATTTATAATAAATTTATTATTAAATAGTAAAATGAATTGCTTTTAAAAGTAAATTTGTTAATTTCTCTAAATATGAGTAAGTTTTTTTAAAAAAAGTAATTAAGGGGCTTTTTCTTATATATAAAAATATAATTATAAATATTAATATTCAAAAAACTATTTTAAAAGGGTATAATATAATAATTTTTTTACTAATAACTTAATAAAATTAAATTATAGAATACTATTTTAAAAAAATTTTGTACTAAAGGGTTAATAAAATTGTTTTTCATAAATAAATTTATAAATAATTAAATTAGAATATATTATTATTAAAGAAAGGTTATTATTTATTAATAAAGATAAAAAAATAAAACACCAAAAATTTATTGCTTTATTATAACTAAATTTCTAAGTAATTAAATGATAAAATATTACATGAAAAATAATTATTATTGTAAAATAAAAATTTATTTTATTTTATATAATTAAATAAAAAATATTTAAAACATAAATTTATTTATTTAAAAAATATTATTATTGAAAAATATATATTTTTTATATTCTTACTTTTAAAAAAAAATTGAATCAAGAGATTACTACCAAAAGAGATAATAAAATTTGTTTTTTTATAAAAAATTTAAAAAATTTAGTAAATATATCATTAGACTTTTGATAATTCTTTTTAAAAGTAATTATTTATATTAATTTTATTTTTAGTGGCGTTCAAAAAAAATACAACAGAAAAACATTAATTAATACATTTCTAATATAAATTACTAACCATTGTAAGCAATACAACAAGTTTTAAAGCGTTAAATAACAAACGTGAATCTTCGGGAATGGTAAGCGAAGAAATTAATGGAATCTAAAAAAAATAAAAGTTTAGAAATTTTTAACTAAAGAAATTGGCTTGAAAAAAATAAAAGTAAAAATATAAAAATAAAATTCAAAAAAAAACAAAAAAATTAAGTTGAAAAATTTAAAAATTTTACTTTAAAAATGCTAAAACTTAAATTTATAAATCAATAGAAGTTTATAAAATTATAAATACTATAAATATTGACTTGATTTTTTTTAAAATTAAATAATTCAATAAAAATAATTTATTTTTTATAAAAATTTGAAAAAGGGTCTAATAATTAGTTATGAAATTTTACAAGGAAAAAAATTTGTTCTCTTATAATAAAAGAAAAAATTTAAAATAAAGATTTTATTATAAAATAAAAACATGAATATAATAAAAGCTATAAATACATAAAAATCTTAAAAGTTAAGATCAAATTTATTAAAAAAAAAATTATTTTACTTTTTTATTTACATTTAAGTATTTTGTGGTACAAATATGTTTTGTTAAAAAGTAGAAAATGTCTTATAACGCTTTTTAACAAAATTTAACGTTAAGTTTATTTTATTTTAAAAACACAATTAAAATTTTGAATATAAATTTAAATATCAATTTAAAAAAACAAAATTAAGTATTAAAATATAAAATATTTATTATATATATATAAAGTCAACGGAAAAGATTTTGTTATAAATTGTTTTAATTAATATTAATTGCTAAAAAAAATTAAACGCTAAAATAAAAATCCGAAAATTAAATAAAAATATTATAATAAGAAATATTAACTTTAATTTTTTTTTTAACAATAATTAAAAATAATAAAAATCTAAAATTATAAAAAATCAATTTGATATTTTCAACTTTATCTTTTCCATATAAAACATAAAATAAACTGGAAACGAACTTACTTTAAAATTTATAATTAATAATTTAAAAATTTCCTGGACATAAGCAAAATTTTATAATAATGTTTCGATTAATAGATTTTTTAAAACGAATTTTACAAAAATAAAATATATATCATATTTATTAGGTTAGTGACAAGATATAGGTTCTATAAAAAACCAGAAAATATATAAAATCTACAAAATTTATAAAATGTTAGTAAAAATTTTTTTTGTAAAAATCTGCCAGAAAAATGCAAAAATTATAAAAGTATAACTTTAAAAGATTAAAAATAGCATTAAAAAAATTTAATCAAAAAAAAAGAAAAATTATAATAACTCATAATACATACAGAATTTTCTAGCAAATTTCAAGTAATTTTTATATAAAAAAATTTTATTAAAAATTAAAAAGTCTACTAATTTTTTCCAGTAGTAAAACAGAAATAAAAAAATTTATTATTGTAGCGTGGATAAAATATTAGTAGAAAAAATAATTAAAATTTTTTAAAACTTAATATATAAATTTAAGGGTTGACCAAAGAAGAATTCACAACGTTCCATCTTCCAAGTGCGCAACGCACTGGGCACAACTCAGCATCATCCGTCCTGACGTACCTGAGAATGTCCTGAATAGCAACTGAAAATTTATATATATATATAATATATTATACGTAATCCTAAAAATATTTAAAAAAAAATAACACAACACTAACTATTTAACTCAATAATATATATAGTGATTTTTGCCGGGATAATTGTTAAATAATTTGTACATATATGAATTAACTAACAAAGGTAATTAAACTTTTAAACTTTTAAACTTTGTATATTTATTATGTCACAATTATGCCTCTATTTTTTATGCTATTTATTTTAATTCCTTTAGAACTCAAAGAGGGAAATTCAAAAAAAAATTTGTTGACACAAAAAATTAAAATTTTTCTCGTTTTTAACAAAGATATATAAAAAAATTTACCTATCGTTTCGCTTCCTTTAACAAAAACTCTTTTACCTCCTGCACTTTTTTCGTAAGTTCCCAGTTGAGAGCAGATTGCAAACAAATTCTGCTCTTCCCAGTCGTTCATTCCCACGAACACAAACACTAGAAACAAAACTGCAAAGCACCATGTCAGTTTGAGGTACACTTATAATACTTCCCTGTGGAAAGTTCGAAGCTAAAGGGTAAAAGGGTTTACGTTTTCCTGTTGTTTATTACTCCAAAACTTCTAATAGTCTCTTTTTTTATATTAAAATTTTACCACTTCAAGTTATAATATTTATACTTTTAAATATATTTGTCTTACTATTATTATTTTATACAAAGTGTAGTAGAGGGTGAAGAAAATTTTTTTTCTCCGTCTATTACTTAAAACTCTCTTAGCCTCATAACTCAAAGCTAGTATGGTGATAATTTTTTATTTATTTATTTTTCTATGTTTAGGGGGGATGAAGAATTTACTATTACTGTTAAACCTCTCATAAAAACCTCTATTAGCCTCTGTTATCTACGCCTACTCTATTTAATTTTGTAACCAGAAGTCAATATATTTGTAATTCTTTTTAAATTTATTTACCTTAAAGTTTATTTAGCTGCAAAGAAACACTATACACTTATAACTAATAACTAAAACATCAAGGGTAAGAAAATGTCTTGCAATTTTGTTAGTTTCTTGGAACTACCGGCGCAGTGCAAATTAAACTACATCTTATTAATGATGACAGAAAGATTTAAATTTTAGAAAGGATACAGTTTAAAAAACAGTTCTGAGCCGAACTTCACACACACCTTGAGCTCCAAGAAAAGTAATGATATAATTTTTTAATAAAATTTTTATATTAAAGGTTTTTACAATAAATGAAAATATAACTAACATATATAAACAGTAATAACTTTATTTTCTTTCATTTTTCATAATTAAAAGTTTATAGCTAAGAATATGATTTTTTGCGTTTGAGAGTTTATTATTCTGTTCTTTATATCAATTAACAAAAGTATAATGGCCGAACTCTGTTTATATTATAGGAAAAACCTATTATATAAACCGCTTCTTTTATAAAGTAATAATTTAGCTAACTCTCCGTTATAGGTAGCTTACAAGCAGTCATTTGCTTATAAAAGTCGAAACAACGTTGAATACCAATTTTTAATAGAGTTTGCATTAAAAAATGGAAGAGGCCCTGAAATTATTTATAAATATAATAAATTTACCAAAAGCGACTACGGTATTGTAGTGTATTAGTGGTTTTTTTGGAGTTATTAAACTATATACAGAATATAGATTTATGAAACAACAACCATTTTTTAATGAAAAACAATTTTAATAATAAGGCAAAAATGAACAGCTACAAGACAAAGAAGCTTCGTGCTACTTATAATACACTTTTCCAATTTACGCAATAAAGACACTTTTAAACTGTTTCAAAATTATCAACTTTAAGTTTAAAATAGAATAACTTATTATTACGTAATGGATTACTTTAATATTTGGACAAAGTAAATTCTATTTCTAGCTACGTTTTGATTATACTTGAGTAAAAATTGGCTTAATGTCCGAAGCTTATAAATTTAAAAGATAAAGAAACAACATTGCATGCCGAGAACATTTAGTGTAGTAAACGGGGGTTCGATAATGGTACAACTCCTTTCCGCCCTAGTCACTGCTTCTATCCTCTTTAGCATTAAATTTTAGCATTGATCCAGAGTTATATTTTCTCCTAAATGTATACAGGTCCAAAGCTCGTCCAAGTAAGCAGGAGCTGAAGCTTTGAGCCCATTTCCTCTTTAAGATTCCCGTGCATGCTCAATGGGGTTGATAACAGGAGATTAGGAGGCCTGTCTAGCACTTGGAACGACTATAATCGGAGCCATAGCCGCACCGATAGCGTAGTGTGATATGAGACATTTTCCTTCTGAAAAACTATTTTATCAAGATCAAAGCCATATTAATCGCATAGGTCATTAAATAATCTATGAATAGGTGTCTGCGGCGATGCTCCCGGTCAATTTTTTAAAATATTCAAATCCCTTACATGTTATAGAGGCCCAAATCATAATCGATACTCCTAGATGTTTATAGTTTTGCACCACCTATTAATCAAGTATTCGATTATCGCCAGATCGCTTTCAACATTACCTATATCATCTGAATCATATCGAATGATCTCGGTCTCGTCCCAAAAAATTATTTTTCCCGGTCAGAAATAGACCAGTTTTCACACTTCTTTCGCAAACCCAAATCTTAGTCGCTTGTGATGGTCTAGTCAAAGCGGGTTTAATTACCTTTTTTGGCATGACGAGCAGAAGAACGCAATGCCCTAGAGACGGTCGACCTTGAACTGGTCTAGCTAATATTGTTTCTGTAATTCTGGAAGCTTTTTGTGCAGATTCGATTGCATACGATGTCACTTGTCCTACAAGTCGATCTACATCCCGGTTTTTCAAGTTCTATGAACGCCCAGGCCCATTGCAACGACGATTTAAATCATATTGATCTTTGATACGGGATATTTTTTCCCTTCTTACACATTCACAATCAATCTCAGTAAAAGGCTTTTACATCATTTTATTACCGACTGAAAGTTTACGAATTATTATATTATTAAGGGCTGGTCGCTTAAACGTTTCATAAACACTCCCCCTCCTTCCTCCTATGGGAGATCACGTGCAAAGTTGTTTAATTAATACTCAAGCTTTAAAGAGCGATAAAGACTCAAGTGAGAAAAAGATTCCTATAATACAAACTACATTTCATAGATCTTAATCTAAACTTATAGATGAAGGATGATTTATACGAATTATTAATTAAAGCGCTATGAATTTTTATGAAACAAATTAGAACAATGAAACGATTTTAACCTAACCTTTTAAACTTGGCTTATAACTATCACAGGTGAGCTTTAATTCGCAGATGAAGAAAATAAAATTTAATGCACTATTCAGTACTTGTACCGTGAAAAATAAACTTTCGAGTATATTTTAGTTTCTGTACACAAGTACGGCTTACTTTGTCTAAAGCGAGGGCTATATCAATAGTAATATATTATTTGAAAAGATAGGTCGCTGGATGTCCTCCTCATTGGTCCAGTGGTTTAGGATTTTCGACTTTCACTCGGAAGGCCCGGGTTCGATTCCCGGATGAGGAACTTCTTTTTACTCGTTTCGACGTTAACTTTTAGACACAACAATTACGCTCGCTCCCCTGCTAAACATGATGTCGTTCCGAAGTGGTTCCCAGGGAGGAGGGAGGGGGTGCTTTGCTTGCAAAATTCCCCTGTAATGTTATTAAGCTTCTTTTATATCGTTTATCTCTTATTCTGTCAAGCAACAGTTATACCTTTCACATTTACAAAAAACTTCCAGTTATTATACCTTCTTCAGTTCCTCCCAATTTTTGGGAGCCTAAACCAGGAGAGAAGCTTACAGAAACTTCTATACAGATAGCGGGTAGTTTTAGTATTTTAAAACACTTTGAAGCCGGAAATACCTTAGAAATATACTTTTTTTTTTTACTAAAAACTACACTTATTTTAAAGGCAGGATCATAACCCTGCGCACAACTAGAAAATCTTACATTTTTTGATCTTGTTCAAGTTAGTAACAACTTACAGCTGGTTGCCAACTCTAAGAAACTTGAAACAAACATTAAGTACTTTAGATAATATAAATAAATTTGTCCGAATTAACTGTGTTATTGGCCTTTATTTGACTTTTATGTTATTTTTATTTCTTCTCCTCTTTTAATTGAGTATAACTCAGATTTATCCTTTAATATTATCTACCAGTATCATTTATGAAAAACTGATTTACTTATTATATAGAAGTTATAGGCTTTCCTGGAAATACGGAGACAGCGAACTAAGCCTTTTTGGAACAAAAATTGTTGTTATAGCGAATTGCGATCCTATACCGAAGCAGTTACTAACAAAGTTTTTACTTAATTACAGATTTATTTTTAAGAAAAATAATTAGTTCATTCTTTCTATTATAATTACTATGAAAGGCTTAGAGATGTAAAAATCGCTTCTTGAAAATTCTTGTTTCCTCAAATTTTATTAATATTTTACGTGTTCGGTCTAAAATAGTAGGTGAAATTAGGAAAATTTTGAAAATAATTTTGTAGAGGTATTAATTAAATTTAAACAAAAGTATTACTTTTTACGAACCACAAGAGTAGGGAGAACTCAGGTGCTTTCTCTTACAGCCACTGGAGCATTTGAAAGCCGTTTGTAACTAAATTTTCTAGTTCAGATAGGAAACTCTTCTTGCAGATCGCTCCCGAAATTTTTTTTAAGGTCGTTTTAAAAATTATATTTAATATTGTTGATTTTAGTTATATCCAGTGCTTTCATATTTCATAGAATATTGTACGTTATATACTTGCTACTTAAAAAATGCTTAAAATTTTAATTTTTTTTTAAAATTTAAAGTTTCAAAGGTAGTATTTTTCTGTTTCGTTAGCTAAATTTTATAATTTATTATTAAACTCTAATATCTAGACTCTTGTGGTTGGCGGTTTTGAACGAGTTTACGAATTTGAAAAACTATTTAGGTTTTATTATTAATTATCTTCTAATATATTGTTATTTTTATTTTTACGGCGCCCCTTAGAAATGAAGGGTTTAGTCACCGCACTATCCAGCGAATTTTATGAAGCATATGCAAATGTGAAAGTGCTGTGGTTCGCACGAAAGCGTTGTTTCGCCCCTTGGTGAGGGCCTTGAAGGGAAAGCTTGTCGTTGAATTTATTCCTAAATTTCCAGCCCCGAAGATCCGCGTGCGAGAAAAGCTGTTATTCACGACTTTTCAAAGCCATTTTCGAGTGTCCACGTGTTTAAGACCTTTTTTGGAAAAACGAGACTTTCTGCGGATATGTTCGATAAAAATTATTATTTATTTATTACTCTTTTTAGTATACTTGTAGTGTTTTTAATATTAATACGCTTTGAGTAATTATTACTTAAAAAAATTCTTATTTTTTTAATTTCATAAAAAATAAACACAAATATTAGAATTACAGACAGGCGACTAGACAATTCCTTTTTGCTTATCATTAAAGCTCTTTTTCCGCATATCTATTTTTTATGTACTGTAAACGAAACATTGTCTTTTTATGGAAACCGCCAAACCAATAGTCGAGGCTGTTTGCCTGCATGAAAGCCATACTTTCATTACAGTTTTTTACGGCAGATTTGTAAATCATTATGAGAACGCTGTGCACGCGGCTGGGCATCGCCTTCAAAGCCATCGAATCGCAGATACAACTATTTGAGGAGCTCGTCTCGGGCTTGATTGAGCCATCCTGCATGAAGCCAACCTTTCTTGTGGGTTTTCCGTCGTTCATGAGTCCTTTAGCGTGCGACTCTCCCAGCGCGGTAAGTTTTTTGTATTATTTCTGTGTTTATCGGAATTATTTTACTTCGTAAATTGTTGTAAATAAACTTTTTCATATCTTTTATATATATTTCTGACTTACTTTACTTTGTATGTTTAAAACCCAGGTTTGAGTTGTTGTGAACGGGACGGAACAATGCAACTCTTATACCGAGCTCGATTCCGTGAAGCAGCAGCAGAAGTTTACGAACTATAAAGAGATTCCTTTTTTTTTTAAGGATTATTTCTTTTGTTCTTCGCTTTGTTTTTGGTAAAAGTTTTTTTCTGATATAATAATAAAAGTTGATAGCAGTAAATTTACCCCTTGTAGCGGGCTATAATTTAATTCGCAATAAATAAATACAAGGTGTAAGAATTTGGTATTTTTTTACTTTTTTATTGTTTCTTTTGTTGTAAGTTGAATTGGCCCCTTTTTTCTTTTTTTAGTAGGAAAAAGAACCGTTTGACTTTTTTTCCGTTTAAAGTTTTTAGGTTTGTCTATTACACTAAAAAAAGCGAATGCCGCTTCAAAATTTATATAGCAGGCAGCAGAGTTTGCAATAATTTTAATAAATAACACTTACGAGTACCACAAAAATTGACGAATTTAAAACATGGCTATTAATAATTTTGATTATTATTATTATTTGCCTCCGTTGCACATTAAAATTTTTCCAGAGTTGCAAAATCGGGAAAGTTTTGACCACGTGGCTATGAACTATGAACGAGGAGTTTGTAAGGCCCTCGAGTATGGCTTACCCCCAACCGTCGGTAACTCTTTTTTATAGTTTTCTGTTATTTTTTTATTTTTCTTTATACATTTTAAAACTTTTAAGCGAAAATTTATAACTTTATAAAAATATATGAAAAAAATAAAAACAGTATTAACAAGAAGTATTATGAAAAATTGTATAAAAAAAATTTCTATATTTTTGGAAAAATTTTATTAAGCATCAAATTTTATTGTGAAACAATATTACAAAACTTTGAAGTGTATATGCTTTTTTATGAAGTTTAGCAAAGTATGCTGGTTTTTATATAACCATATATACTTCTAAAATAATAAAACTGAATAAAAAATATTTTGAACGATGAAAAGTTTTATATATCTTATTTTTTAGTATTTATATTTTTATGAACTTTCAATATATTTTTTAAAGCAGAAAACAAAAAAATTGTTAAGCACAGAAAAAGTTTTATTATTATATTAATAATTTTAGAATCAACGAAGTTATAAACTTTAAGAAATTTATAAATTTTTATATTTTATTATTATAAACTTAGAAGTTTAGAGCTTTTTATCCTTTATTTCTTTGAATACTATAATTTTTTTATATAAAAAAAACTTTAATAAAATTGTTAATTTCTTTATATATATAATAATTTATTATTAAGTATTAAATTTTTATATAAAACTTAACACGTTTTCAACGTTTATTTGTTTTTTGTAATTATTAAATAAATATTTATTTTTATTAAAAAATTTATTTCCCATAAAATTAACAGTGAAGCCAAATATTGAGTGCACTAAAATCTATTAATATTTTTTTACGAGGCTTATTATTTAAGTAATTTTTTTAGATTTTACATAATTTTCTTGTTTACATGATTTTTAATTATAAAGTTTTCTTATAAGTTGTATTAAAAAAGTTTATTCTGCTTTTATTGTATGATTAAGAATACGATGTGTTTACTTTTTCAATAGAGAAGTTTCTTTTGTATTCTTATATGTAAAAAGAAACCTCAGTTTTTATAAATATAAATATATTTAGTGACTATAATATTTCTCACACAAAATGTGTAGCCTAAAGGGACTATAAAGAAATGCCTTTATTTGAGTTTCTCTGTTACTAAAAAAAAAAAAAATTTGTTTTCTCTGGTACCAGTACAGGAGGAATTGCCATACTTTAGTAAGTTGCCAATGTAGGATACCCAAGTGCAAGAGGGTATAAAACTTATCGTAGTGATTGTATACAGCCGAATAACTTTAATAGGAACCATCTACGCTGCTAATTTTTATAAATGGTTTAATAAGTTTGGTAATGAAGAATATATTTTTAACTAAAGTTTGCTTGTTTCGTTGTACGTATTTGCAGTAAGTAGCTTTTGTTCGTAAATAAAAAAGGTATTATTTTAAATGTGAAGTAAATTATATACTAACTTTCTAGCAACAAGTAATAGTTCTAAGCAGGTATTTTTGTTTTTTCCTTTCTATTAAAACTATGCTTGGTAAGAAAAATGATAAAGTGGGGATCATAAGTTATAGCTGAAGATTTTTATAACGTTTAGTCAGCTCTTCCTGCAAGTTACTGTAAGTTATTAGTTTTAGTAGCTCTAGTTTCGCCGGTAATAAAAATTGATATAAGGTTCGTCGAGTATATTCCCTTTATAATTGAATTTTGAGGTGCTGTCTAAGGAATTTGTATTCTTTACCGGAATCTTTATTTATTTATTATTAATAGCGACTTGGTAGCGTTTTTAAAATAGTTTAGAGGATAAATTTGACCACATTTATTTAAGGTTTTAATAAGAAGGTTCGTCTTGAATCTAAGTAAAGCTACAATTAAAGAACTGATACTAAATCTAAAAGAGCTGAATTACCAAAAAAAAACTTTGCCCATGAATAGGAGAAAATCAATAGAAGCAACCAAGACTTCTACTTTTACTTAAAATTTTATTATGCCAACTTCAAAAAATTACCTAAGATTCGGAGGAATATGTTACGAATACAAATCATATGTTATAACAAAGTGCCAAGGATTGTTTGCTCAACATCTATAAGCGATAACAGGAGCTTTATCACACTTAATTATGGTAAATTAAAAAGTAAGGGTTATAATATCCTAAATAAATAGTAAAAAAAATTCTACTATTAAATATTCGGTAAAAAAAAAATTGAATCCTTTAAAAAAAAATTTATAAAAATTTTGTAGAGTAATGAAAATTCAGAAAAAATATTACTGTATTAAGGACATAATAAATCTTTGTTCACCGATAATTTTCTTTTTTAAAAACCTCTTTACTAGAATGTCTCCCTCGTCGTTCTTAACCTTAAAAAGGTTTTAAAATGCTCCGAAGTCAATTACAATAAAGATCGGGTTTCTTAATCAAAAGTGAGGGAGGAGACGATGAACTGTATATATCTTATATTTTTTGCTGAAGAATGTATAGTGTAAAAGGAGAAGGTTCTTGCGCATGAAAGTTTTCTTTAAGGAAAACTTTATATTAGATGTTCCAAGTTAGAATAACGTTATATCAAGATTTAACTATCCACGCTTGAGTAAAAGCAACACGATAGATACGCTTTTAAACTAGATTTACTAGTAAAAACATAAAACCAACTTAAAATAACCAAGCATTCAACTTATAACTTAAGATGCACCCTCTCAATTAGGCATAACAGTTAACCTTTTTTTTAATTTCATTACTAAACCTTCTCTATACATACTTTTATAAAAACAATATTATTGACACTTTCACTTTTAATAAGCGAAAGCATTACGTTTATAGCCTAAAGATATTTCCTCGTTTATGTTTATACTCATAACAAAGCACTTAACTCTTCCACGCAATATGAATTTCCTGTGCTTTCGGAAAGTAGCTTGAAGAAAACTAATGGCCGAGCCCGCATGCTTTGTGTGTGGCACACTGGCTTGCTTTAAACTTTACGTTTTTAATTTAAAATTTTCCATGCATCGACTATTATTAGAACTTTTTGAGCCATGAATAATTTTAATAAAAATAAAGAAACAGATAGCAAAAATCGAATAGCTATTGTTAACGCTGATAAATGCAAACCAAAAAAGTGCAGACAAGAATGTAAACGGAGTTGCCCTGTAGTTAAAATGGGTAACTTTCATAACACCTTTAAATATTTTAACGCAATACACCCCGTTTTTTTTGCAAGGCAAACAGTGTATAATTGTTAAACCCACGGATAAAATTGCGTTTATATCGGAAACTTTGTGTATAGGATGTGGCATATGTCAAAAAGTACTTTATTTTTTTCTGTTTTTGGGTGCTAACCCTTCACTTCTTGCAATTCTTGAAACAGAAATGCCCCTTTGACGCCATTAGAATAGTTAATATTATGGCCAATTTATCTAAAGACACTACCCATCGGTTTCCTTACTTTCAATTTTATAATTAAAAGATTTTTATTAAACTTTTTAGTTACGGCCCTAATACTTTTAAGCTTCACCGCCTCCCTATTCCTCGACAAAACCAAGTTCTTGGACTAGTGGGGACTAACGGCGTTGGCAAGTCCACTGCGTTAAAAATCTTAGCGGGGAAAATAAAACCAAACTTGGGAAATTTCGATGTCGTTTACCTTGAATTCTTTAAAGCCAATTTGATTACAAGTTTTCTTTTAATAAAGGCACCACCAGACTGGCAAGAAATTTTAACTCATTTTCGTGGTTCAGAGTTGCAAAGTTTTTTTACACATATATTACAAGATGAAATGAAAGCATTAATAAAACCGCAATATGTTGATCACATTCCGAAGGGTTGCTATACTTTTCTAACCGGTGCATAACGCACTGAGTCCTAATAATTCCCTTTCAGCTATAAAGCCCGAAACTACTGTCCGTGATTTATTATCCAAAAAAGATGATAAGCATATAATGGAACAAATTATAAAGGATTTTGGTCATTTTTATATTATAACTAATCTTATAAATTATTAAATGTATTAACTACTTCTGTAGATCTAACAAATATCATAGACCGCGAAGTGGCCGCTTTATCAGGTGGGGAGCTTCAAAGGTTCGCCTGCGCGTACGTCTGCGTACAAAAGGCTGAGATCTACATGTTTGACGAACCTTCATCCTATTTGGACGTTAAGCAGAGACTGAACGCCGCCAGAAAAATAAGAGAACTCCGACAGCACGATACGTGAGCAAAAAGATTGCACTAAAAATGCTATTCCCTGCCCGTTGATTATAAATAGTTACGTTCTAGTGGTTGAGCACGATCTTTCCGTCCTCGACTATTTGTCAGACTTTATCTGCTGCCTTTACGGCCTTCCTGGTGCGTATGGCGTCGTTACTACGCCTTATTCCGTTCGCGAAGGTTTTCAGAGGACGTTCTTTTCTATTCTTTATTACATTATAATAAATGTATAAGGAATTAACGTGTTCCTTGACGGGTACATTCCTACGGAAAACTTGAGGTTTCGGGAAATGGCTCTTTCCTTCAAAGTTACTACTTTGAAAACTTTTATAAAACGCGCGTGCCGAAGTTTCTTTTTTATGTTTAGGTTGCTGAAACTGCCGAGAACGAAACTAAAGGCTCGTCTTCTTATGAGCAGTGCTATCCAGCCATGACCAAGACGCTGGGAAACTTCAAACTCACTGTCGAAGCTGGTGTGGTCTTTTTAAAAAAACACGTGCTCGTTATTAAGGTTTCGTGGCAGGCTCTTTTCAGGATTCGCAAATTATCGTTATGCTCGGTGAAAACGGGACGGGAAAGACCACGCTAGTGCGACTGTTGGCTGGTACCAAGCCGGATGGTGACGTGGAGATGCCTCAGTTAAACGTCAGCTACAAACCGCAAAAGATTAGCCCGAAGTACCAAGGTGGGTTATAAGGCCTTGCAGCACGTGTGCGTTATTTCAGGGTCATAAAAAAGGTTCTGTGCAGTCGCTCTTTTACCAGAAGATTCGGGAAGCTTTTTTGGATCCTCAGTTTGTAGCGGAAGTGCTGAAGCCGCTAGCGGTGGACACGCTGTTGGACCAGACGGTGCTCAACCTTTCCGGCGGCGAACTCCAGCGGGTGGCCATATGCATCTGTCTGGGCACGAAGGCGGACGTCTATCTCCTGGACGAGCCCTCAGCGTATCTGGACTCCGAGCAGCGCATTGCCGCTTCCAAGGCGAGTGGCATGTACTACTACGCTCACTAGTCGGAGTCTAATTTTTTTCTGAGCAGGTTATTAAGCGGTTCATTCTCCACTCCAAGAAATCCGCATTTGTAGTCGAACATGATTTCATTATGGCCACTTATCTGGCCGACCGCGTTATTGTTTACGAGGGAGAGCCTTCCATATCCGCCATCGCTCGCGCGTAAGGCTCTTGTGCGTCCCCACGCTGGTTTTTATACTTTTGCCTACCACGTGTATTGTGGTTAATTAGGCCTGAGCCTCTGCTGAGCGGGATGAACAGGTTCCTGCAGTCTTTGGAAATCACTTTTCGAAGGGACCCGGACAACTTCCGGCCGAGAATTAACAAGCTCAACTCGATAAAAGATAGTGAGCAGAAGAGGAGCGGAAATTATTTTTTTTTGGAATCATAAAAATTGTAGTTTTTATATGAATATTATTTAAACAATTTGAGTATCAAACAATTTTTTAAGAATTTTTGTTATTATTTAATTAATATTAAGAATGTCTTCTACCTGAAAAATGATTGGTGAGGGCGGTGATTATAGTGACGTGTCATATTCTCACCTTTTCGTCTTTCCACTCGAGGAGTGTAGCGATTTTCTTTAGCGGTTTCTTAGCTGTCGCGTTTAGCTGAGCAGCAGTGACAAGAGCGTCTTTGGAATAGTATAAAACTTTTACGTAAAGAGCACAGGAAAGTCAAAAGATTATTCGTTTAAAGCAAAGAAAATGCTTTACATTCAGGATCAATAAAGGCAAGAGGCACAAATATAGCGACAATGAGGTCTGCGTATTTCCCATCGTCCAATAAGAGGTCTTCTTTGAGAGTATCCACGTATGACAGGACATCCTTCGGGTTTGTTATTAACAAACGAGTCTATAATAAATGAAAAGAATAAATAAAAGGCGACGAACAGAAGAGTTTCCTTCGACGCCTTTTGCAAATTTTTGGAGGTATTTTTGTTTTTTTTTCTTGTTGGATTCTTGACGGTATTTTTGGAAGATAACGTCTAAAGCATCGTCCTCGTCGCTCCAATCATAATCGCTAGGCTCGTAGCTGAGTGCCTCATTTAACTGCGAGCGGAGTAGAGCAGCGCCAATAATATTTATTTTACGACGTCGAAACCTCTTCACTCTGCCAATCCAATAAATCTATAATCTCGCGGGCTACTGCTTTACAGTTTGGATTTATTTTGATCGCCTTTATAATATCCCCTTTGCTTTGGAAAATAACTAATATTGAAAAAACTTTACGGGACTATTCTTGCCAATAATAATAATAAGTTGATAGAGACATTCCATGTCCTCAAAGACAACACTTTTGAAAATTTTTAATATGTCCACTGCGAAAAGGCCCTGCTGTGTTAGTAAATCTTCTCGAAGAGAGTCGATATACAATAGAGCATCCTATAAAATGTGTAATTAATAATAATAATAATAATTAATAATAATAATAATAAAGTAATATTAGCGTTGGGATTGCTCCTGGCGGCAGCTACCAGCAGAGTGAGAAATCTCTGTTTATTGGTAGTATCTAGAGCGCATTTGTACAAGTTATATATGCTTTCTATCTGAGAAGAGGCGAGTTTCGGGTGAGCCTTGAAGGCCTAAAAAAAAGTTTTGTAGAGCAAAAATTTTACGAACTTTCTATGGTCTTTTGAAATCCACTAATAAAAATTTAAATATAAAGAAAAAAATTATGATTCTAAATCGCGTATAAAAAGTGAAATAGAACCATTATGGTTATTGGGAAGATTATAATAATTTTTTGGGTGGAATGATATTTATAAGAACAAACTCACGTGCTCTATCACGGGATAAAATATGGGCCGCTTTTCACCAATCATTGCATTGATAAGCGAAACACATTCAAGTGGGACTTCTTCTTCTTCTTTATTAATAGTAAATAAATATAAATACTATAAAAAATATAAAGATAAAAAAAAAGGTACCAGAACGCAACACTTCAACGATATGAAAAACAGTACTACAAGCAATTTGATCGATTGAACAAATGGCTTTTCCTAGAAATCTTTTAATACATAAAACTTTTTCTAATGAAACTTAATTTTTGCAGAATTTTTTGATATAAAAAACTTGACAAATCGCTTTTTTTAAAATCTTTTAATGCAAAATAAAACTTTTTTAATATTAAAAACTCTTCTAAGTTACGGAAAGCTCTTTTTCTAAAATAATTTGATAAAAAGTGTTTCTAGTAAAACTTTTTCTGATATGAAAAACTTTAAACTTTAGTTACTTTAATTTCTTTATAAAGGAAATTATAACCAATGCGGTTAACTTAGAATTTCCTATAAAACTTTACTCTGAAGTGTGTAGTCATTATATAACATACAATAATAAATAAATGTGAAATAAATATAAAAATAAAATAAATATACTTTTCAAAAATAGTAACTGTGTTAGTAAGAAAAACAGGATCTTCGGGTTTTGCTAAGGCCGTTAAGAAAGCTAAAGAGAGATCAACATAAATCTAAAGTAAAAAAAAATTCAGTATTCATAAAAGTAATATTTATATATAATTATTTATATAAATTATAGCAATGGGTTTTATATAATATTTAAGAATAGTTTCTACTAAAATAATCTAAAAGATAGATTTATTACCTTCAAAAGTTAAATTTATATATAAAAATATTATAAAATACAATAAGAGACTAGTAAAAAAATTATAAAAAAAAAGTAAAGTTTTGTAGAAAGATAATCTAAAATATTTTCAGTACTAATAAAAGTTCTATTTAATAAAAGTAATATTAAAAAATTGTACAATATTAAAGTTTCCTATAAAAATTACTAATAACAGAATTAATAATTAATAAATATAACAATTATAAAATATATTATAAAAATGAAGTTTTATACAAAAATATAGTAAAAAAATAATAGAAAAATAAAAAAAGATTAAACTAAAAGATATGAAAGTTTTAAATAATAACAATTTTATAAAGAAGTACAAAATATTATACAAAAATAAAAATTATATATTTAATATAACTATAATTATATTAGAAGTTTTTTTATAAAATATAAATCTTATCATAGTAAAGTTATATAACTTGTAAAAAAATTTTATAAAATATAAATTTAAATCTTAACAAATATGATTAGTTTTTATAAAGATGAAATGCAAAATTAACAAAAATTATTAAATAAAAATGTAATAAATTCTTAGCAATTAAAATTTATTAAGCCACCAAAAATTTCTTAAGGGAAAGCTACTTGCAAAAAAATTATATATTATATTTAAATAAAAATTTGGAAGTTTTTTTATAAAAAAATAAGAAAAATAAGAAAACTTTATTTTTTACTTATAGTATTTTAATAATAATAACTTATAACTTAGGAAAATTAGAAAATAATTTTTTTCAATAAAAAAATAAATTTAACAAAAATGATAAAAGAACACTTTTTTGCTATAATAATTATTAAGTTTATAAAAGTTAATAAATAAGTAATTGCCTGCAAAATTTATAACTTAAACTTGAATTTAAAATTATAAAAAAATAATAAAAAGAAAAAATTACCAATTATTGAAACTTTTACTTTCTAGACTTATTTGTGCTTTACTTTGCATAAATTTACAAGACTTAGTATTATTATTATTTTGAACAATCGAAAAAATTAATTTTCTTCTAAATTCTTACAAAATTTAATGAGCGTAATTCTACTTCTTTCTAACAATATAATATATTTACTATACTTACGACTAAACAAAATTTTAATAACATAAATTATAATAAATTTAATATATATACTAATATATACTATTATAATAAAACATTTTTTTATATTGAAATTATGTAGATAATTACTTTCCTACTATCTAAAAAAAATTAAAAATAATACATTTTGACATTCACTTATGCTGATAAGGTCGCACCACTTATCCAGAAGTGCAGTAATAACAAAAACGTTTCTGAAATATTAATATAAAAAAAAAGTAAAAAAAAGTAAAAATATGCGATTTACTAAATTTATTACTTCTTTTATAAAATACTTAAACTAAAAACTATAAGAACGCTAAAATTTAAAAGCAAGTTAATAAGGTTAAAAAATTCTGACCTTTTAAGAAGTTGAAAGGAACAAATACAGTTAAGATGAAGAGTATTAACTACTGTTTCTGCTCTTAATCTCCTCTCCTGTACACGTAAAAAGAGAGAAGTTAACAAAAAATAAAGATTTTAAAAAAAAAATTTAGCTTCGTTTTCTATAAAGTTTTCTTTTATAGTAAAGTCTAATAGTTTTTCAGCTATATCTTCGAACGTTTCAAGTAAATCTTCTGGTTGAGTTCCCAAAGCCGTATATATCAAATCCTATTTTTATTATAAGTTTATGGTAGTGCAAAGAAAAGGAATTCTGTAACTCTGAGAAAAATTATACTTCCAAATTTGTTGAAATATCATCAGCTGATAATAGTTCATATATAGAATCTATTTTCCCTAACTCTCCTTTATCAGGTTCGTTACTCAAGTCTTCATTTACATTCAGTACAGACTCCATAAGTAGAAAATTCTTCGCACTGAACTATTAGCTTTCGTGTTTGTATGAAGTTTTAATAAGTTTAACTTAAAGCACATACAAGTAGCGAAATAGGTATATTTTATGGCGTTACTAAAAAATTTAGTAGAAGTTCAGCCTTTTTGGTAAATATTTAAATACTTTTACTATATATATTTTTAAGCAAATTAAGTTTAATGACACAAGTTGAGCAGGCTGAACAATACGCCTCTGGCCGTTCGGATCTGAGTATAGGCTAGGTGGAGAATTATTTTAGCTATAGCCCGACCAGCCCGGGGACAACTTTTCTGTTACTGTTAACTAAAGCCAGTACAACTTTAACAGAATTTTGACAAAACAGCTAATGAATGATGGTAGATAGCATTATTCTTTATTCCTAAAGCATTGTAAAACCACTAGATCAGTAATGGACTTGGATAACTAACAGGCTCTTGCTGGGTTGAAGTAGCTTTGAATATTTTCTCTATCTGTAGATTCAGGAACAGTGCCATCTGCTAATATATATAAGCCTACCAACCCAATTCGAAACATTTTTGAATCTAACATGCCTAGTAAGATCAGGTGAACCCCTTGGTGATATCTTGGGTGGTAACCTGTTAAATTCTATAGAAACCATCTTTCGTTCAAGTCAGTAAGGTCCGCTGGAAGTCACGGAGGGAAGATCTATAGAATGAGTGATGATAGCTAACAATATTGTCAAACGCATTGGCTAACATGATAAACATACACTTTTCATGACTGTGATATTTGTATCTACCCATTAACTATAAAAAAACCCGTTCAATACTAGTGGATACATAAATTAGCTAACTTATTTCTAAAAAATTATATATTTAAAATTATATTCGTTCAAAAATGGTTAATCAACTCAAAAAGTTGCTGCAAATAATTCGTTCCAAAAAAAAATTTTTTCTTTACACAGTCCTCTAAACTACTAAATTATTAAACTTTTACCTAACAAGGGATCCGTTTTAATATCTTTCTAATTCTTAAAACTATTACTTTTTTAACCCCACCAGCCCTGCAGGATGAGGCTGAGCGAAAAAGAAGTGGAGAAGGAGAAAAAAACACACGAACATCACTTTTATGTGGATTAATAAGAGACTTTGCAGTTAACACATTAAATTCTCGAACTCTCAATCAGGAGTAGTTGCACTCTTTGCGGGCTTAGTCAAAGTCTATAAAGGGTGCTTATCTCTAAAAATACAAATGACTTTTTAAGCTTGTTTCATCAAGGCTTGTAAGTGAAATCAGTGCTCAGTTAGCTGTTCGTATAATATATAGATAACTATTACGCTGGAAGAGAGCGGAATCCTGCTGGAGATCTGTGTAGAGCGCGCTATGACGTGCGTAAAGTAAGGCCAGGCAGCAGGAGCGATTATCATGGTAATATGATTGTACTATACGTATAGTAGCAGCTTGTTGCTCGGCTAAAAAGTTTTCTCTCACCGCAAAGTAGTGGGCACGACACCACCTTGACCTTCGCCTTGAGAGCTTATTATCTTTAAGTACTGGCAACATAGGGAAATCCGAGCCGTCGCTTAGCGACGCAGGTGTTGCAATACACTTTTTATTAATAAAGAGCGGTAGTTCCTATGCTGGCCAAGTAAACTAAACCCCATAATGTGCGCACCTCGCGCGCTTAAAGCACGGAGAGCAAGGTTAAAGTAGAGACCCTTGCGGAACAACAGCCTTCTATAGGGCTCGAGGGCGGTTTGTGAATTACTCAGCTTTTATACCAAACTAGGTTGGACGCTTTTGGTTAAAACACGGCTTCAGAGGAGGACTTCATAATTTTGAAGAAGCGAGTCTTTCGTTCTGTAAGCCGAGAGAGCAGTTGAGTTGTTAAATGTCCTGCTAAAATACAAATGCTGAGAATTCGGCAAACTCTTGAGAGTGTTAATGACCGCTTTAAAGAGGCGTAGCAGAAGAGCGACCTTTACTACTTTAACGACCGTTCACAAGAAGCTAAGTGGCCTATATTTGTTCAGTAGGGGCCCTGGTGGCATTTGCTTAAGTATTGTATTTGTAATGCTGTTCGCCTCTGTAAAGTTTAATGCTTGTTTTGATTTGGTCGATGGTGGCCTGTTCTAGGGGTTAAGCGTCAAAAGCTTGGAAAAGAAGTGTGGGCCATGCAGTATACATTGAGATTCTCAGTCAAAAGTGTCTCTCTCCTCATTAGTAAACAGTTTAACAAATTACCAGAAAGGGGTACCGCCCTCGTCGCCCGCCTTCTTACGAAATTTATTAGAATTTATAAGGGCGAGAGGTTAAATACAAGACCATCGAAGACCGAAAAAGAAAGTTGCGTTGGTGGGAATCTAATACACAGAAAGGAGTAAAGAGGGAAGAAGAGAGAAGAGAAGGAACAACAACCAAACACGTGTTTTATTTTACTAGTTTAAATTTATTTTTCTTCTGTTATCTTACAACTTTGATAACTTCAAGAACTAATAATTGTATACAGATTGAGAGTAGTATGCTTAATAATATAACAAAGAAATAACATAGAGTTAGTTAAAATTAAGAAGAGTTGCATAATTTATTCGATTGATCTTGAGCCTTCTGAGCTTACTGGTTACCACAACAAAGACAAAAAAAAAGAAAGAGCACGACGCTCATGACTTCCTTAAACCACTAATTAGGGCTGTGCCCTCAAACGGCAATCCTCAATTACGTAAACACTTTTGCAAAAATAATTATTGTACCCCGGCTTTTCACTTGATCACGTGGGGTTTACTTTTTAGAATCGAACCCACGACCTTGAAGGCCGTTGTGCTACGACTCTCGATATCGGTATGATGGTTTTATGTATTTAAACTGTTAAAATATAACCTGGTCTCTTACTGACTGTTGTGGAGGATAAGGCAGCGAAGCTTGCAGCTGAGATCCTAATTGATAATAGCTGTTAAACAAATAGCAAAAATAGCGTTCTCCATCGGGCTAGCTTTGAGATAAGAATCTTATCCTAAAACCAAACATTACTTTCATAAAAAATGGTTCCAGTAGCCTTCATTAGTCCTAACTACCTACAAACTTTGTTTTGACGAAGTCTATTAACGATTGCCATTAATTTCATCACTAGGTTGTGAAACGCAAGAGAGCATGTACGCTGCAAATTTGTTAATGTGCATCAAATTATGACTTGCAAACCTGAATCGCGTTGGTTTTAAAAAATAGAAAATTGCTAGATAGAAGTTATTTTCTTATACCGACTTTTTAATGACCTTAACTTTAGTATGATTATATGAAATCTATATTAACTTAATATTTATTAAATGCTGTAGCATTCATATGGGCTGTCATTATAGAGTCCGTGCTATAAAAGATTAGACCCTGCACAAAATTTATTATAACTTAGGCTTAAAATGCACGATATACCGACATCTAGTCCTATTTAAAAAGAGACATGAATTATAATAAAAGGTTATTTAAGAGTTTAAAGCTGAAAGTATCACGTCATTTAGTAAATGAAAGGAAAACATAAAACTAAAGAACAGTACTTATTTTGAAAAACAGGAAACAGATTTGAGGGCAGTAGGCCTTTTACCTTTGTAAAAAGTAACATGATTGGGGCTTTAATAAAGCTGAAGCTAACTTAAACACCTTGCAAGGTTAGCTTACAGTTCAAATGTTTTCTTAACATTCTTTACCCGCAGTCGGCTCACTGACATGACTTATATTCTTTTATTTCTCATTTAAGATTTCAGTTTGGAAACTCACCAGACAATTTAAAATTTAACAACTGGTCGAAGGTAAAATAAAATTATATTAATTTAATTTATATTACAGCCTCTATTTACTTCCTTATATCTTTATGCCAATCCTTCGTAATGTTTTTGTGTGATTGCTGTCTCTTTCAGTAAGGCAACTGCGCACAAACGTTCATGGAAACTTTTTTCTGAGTTGGTAGAAACTTCTACGGTGCTTAAAATTTAAAGCAACCTAGTATATAACCATTTTCCTGTGTTCATAGCTTTCCCTTGCTTAGTAAACTTCTTAGACCTATTTAAATAAGGATCTATGATATTTAAAAAAATTAGAAAGTTTCATGCTATGCACTTATATGTTGCAAGCTCTTCAGATAAAATTATCTGTTAACTTTTATAAGTACTATTTCACCACCACTATATAATTACTGTATAGTAGCAATAAACTTAAGGTCATTACAGATGGACATTAAAGTTAACATCAGTTGCAAAACTACCTTTTTATTTTAATGTACACTATCGTTCAAAATTGTTTCGATGTTTTAAACTTTTTCGTACAAATTCTATAACGCTTTAATTAATGACTGGTTATATTTGCCCCTTATATATATATAAGTTTAGATCGAGATCTATTTTTAATGTAGTTTGTATTAGAGGAATTGATTGCATAAGGTTTTATCGCTTTTTAAATTTTAAGTATTGATTGCAACGATTTTGCACGTGACCCCCTTCGTGCAAAATTTTTTCAATCTTACTACGAAATTTTCATGATCACTTCATCATAGGGGTTTTTTTAAAGCGTTTGAGTGACTATAAAGATGGCTAATTTAAAGGCCTTAATTTAATAATGCGGAAACTTTTAATCGATAAAGAAACTGATGTAAAATGTCTTTTAGATCAAGGCAAGCCTTATACTGAGATCACTCGTGAATGTGGTGTCAGTCACAATATCCTGGATCAATGTTCAAAATGATCCAAATCGTCTTTGCAATGAACCTGGGCGTCCAAAGATCTTGTAAAACCTGTATGTAGCTCGACTTGCGCTACCAGTGATTTTGGTGCAATTGAACCTGCATAAAATCTTAAAAAATCATAGAAACAATATTAGATAGATCAGCTTCAAGGCCGACCCATACCGAAGGCATTGATTCTGCTGGTCTCTATGCGAAAAAAAAGTTAATTAAACCCACTTTGACAGACCGTCACAACCGACTAAGATTTAAGTTTGCGAAGAAGTACGAAAATTGATCATTCCTGACTGGGAAAAAAGTAATTTTTTTGGATGAGACCAAGATCAAGCGATATGGTTCAGATGGGATTAGGTGGTGTGGGAAGCGATCCGGCAACACTCGAGTGCTTGATCACCCGGTGGTGCAAACGAACAAACATGGGAAAGGATCTATTATGATTTGGTCCTATATAACATTTAAGGGAGTCGGATATTCGGGAAAAACTGACAAGGAGTAGCGCCGCAAGCATATATTTAGACGTCATTAAGGATGACCAACTCAGAACAAGTATTAGGCATGGGTCTTGTTCTGGGTGAAATGGAGTTTCGGCAGGATAATGACCCTTGTCGCACTGCACTATCGGTGTGAACATGGTTCCAACATGTCACGTGCTCTTATACTTTGCTGTATAGTACAATTAATATACTAACGATCTGCATTTTCTTTTTTCGGAGACTTTTTCTTATTATTCGAAAGTATATTTCTTGTTTTAAAAGTGTTATTATAATTATTATATTATTTTATAATCTACGTTATTTATAAAATTAGTTTTATATAACAAATTTGAACTTTTAAATGTTTGTAGTAAGTTAAATTTTTTAACTTTTAATAGTGAATAGCAATAAAAAAGTGGTGTTAAAAATTTTTATAATGGTTTTATAAAAATTAATACAATATTATATGTTTCAAGGCTTAGAAGCTAAATTGAGAACATAATTATATTTAAATAAAGTGAAATCTCCTTAACAAATTTTCTTATTTTTTTTATTTATATACGGTATATCCAAGATTTTAAATAATTTTTCTTTCTATTGTAAATATTTTGTTTTTAAAATTTCAAATTTTTTCTATTACTTTTTTTTCTATATTTGTTTGCAAGTTATGCCTTTACATATAATTATATATATGTATATGTAATATATTTTTATTATTCTTCCGTAATATCAAGCAGTGTAACTATTATGTATATTAATATATATTGACTTTTAATATTTAATTGTATAATTTTTCAAAATTTGAGGAGATTTGTTTGGCAGCTGCTATTATTTACACGAACGATAGTATTAAATTATTTAATGTTAACCGTATAATTTTTTAAAGAGTAGAAAATTTGTCTGACGACAGCTATTATTTACACGAACGATAGTATAACTGTATAATCTAAAAATGAAGATTTATTTGCCAAGTGCTCTCAATTTCATGAAAGATAACAATTAAATATTATTTTAACTGTATATTCTATAAAGTGGAGAAGATTTACTTGACAACTGCTATTAATTACACCAACGGCTCTCCTCACATTGGACATGCCTATGAAGCCGTCACTACTGATGTCTTGAGCCGCTTCCACCGAATATACGGACGTGATGTTCGCTTTCAAACAGGAAGTGATGAGCACGGACAGAAGGAACTTTTATTTTTCTTTTGATTATTTTTTTATTTTAAACATTTTGTTCTGTACTCTTGGTTAATTTATATTAACGACTTTTATAAAACTTAAATAACTTTATTTTACTATAATTTTTGAATTATTTTTTTTAATCTCACCGAATTGTTTACCGCTGTTGATTTGCCCCTTTTTTAAATTTTTTCCTTTTTTATTCCTTATTAATATAATTCTATTAGATTGCCAATGCAGCTCAGAAACTCGGCAAATCTCCAATAGAGTTGTGTGATTTATATGTAAAGGTATTATAAATATATACAAACTTTAAAAATTTTATTTTCTAACTTATTATTTGTTAACTTTTTTGGCTTATCTTTTTTTTTACAATTGTGTATATTTCAATGTGAGTCATTAACATATATATAATTTATTTTATGTAAACTTTATATATAATTATTATTTGAAATATATTATTATGTAGTCTTTAATTAGTATACTTTTATATAGATTTTTATAATTCCACTTAGAATTATTAATATTTTTTATATATTTTATATTATTAAATTTTAGTTATACTCCTATTAAATCTATAAATTTATAACTTATTTATAAAAATTTGTTATTATGGAGTTATAAGATCTGTTTGGATTTTTATTACCTATATTTTATTTTTTTGTGAATTTAAAAAGTTTTTATTTCAATTCTCTTTTATAATTTTTTAAAAATTAATTTTATTTATTTAGGAGTTTCAGAGTTTGAATAAGCAATTGCAAGTCGAAGCAGATCTTTTTTTAAGAACAACAGGTTTTCTACTCTAATAAAATTTTAAAGAATTGGAATTTTTTGAAATTAATATGTCCCCTACTATATTTTATATATAAAGATATAAAATTTTAAGTATTCTACAAAAAATTTATATAATTATGGAGTTTATATTTTGCTTGTTATTATATAAAAAAATATAAAATTAAATTTTAGCGTCTTAACAAATCTTAATTAATAAATTTTCAAATAAAATTAAAAAAAAATAACTAAATTTTTTATATACTATTTACTGATTTTTAATTTTGTTCCTTTTATAAAATTTTATTTACTTAGAAAATTTAGTGAAAGTTAAGATCTTTTTTCAATTAGAAATTTACCAATTTTTATAGTTTCGAAAAGTTTTTATATAATTGTTGTTTAGAAAAGTCTACTAATTTTGTGCGTTTTATAGTAAAAAAATAGTAATTACGATTCTTACGATCAATAATGGTAGAAAATTAAGAAAAATATCTTCTTTTATATTTTTATAGACTCCAAACACCATAAAGTTGCGCAGTTGTTATATTTAAAAGCCAAAGAAAACGGTATAGTAAATTAATTATTATTATTATTTTATTATTTTCAGGAACGTTATTATGTTTTTATTTTTTTTAGAATTACATTTTTTAAAATTTTTTTTATTATAATTTTTAGGAATTTTTATTTTTACTTTTTTTAAAAATTTAGATCTTTAAATTTTTATATTATTTATTTTTTTTTTTGTTAATTATAATTTTGTTATAATTATAGATTTATAATTTTTATAAAAAATTTTTATTATTTTAGAATAATTTATTATATGATGATTTTAATAACTTAATTTGAAAATTTTGTTTATAGAAAAAATAATTTTATTTTATATTTACTTTAGACTATTCTTATAGAAAGTTTTAAATAATGTTAATTTATTTATTAACATTATTTATGTATTATATTTAATTTTTATTTACTTTTTTATATATACTTTTTATATATTTTATTTTTTATATAACTTTTTTAAATTTTTTACTTATTTTTTTTTGATAATAATAAACTTTATTTATATTTACATCACCATAGTCTTTATATTATTATTATTATTTTATTATTATATTTATATAATATTTTAAGGCGATATTTATTTGGACAACTATAATGGTTGGTATAACGTTAAAGAAGAAACTTTTGTTACCGAACTTGAAGCAAAACTCACGAATTTTAAGGACCCCGCTTCGGGCTCGCCGCTCATTAAAATGACTGAAGTTTCTTATTTTTTTCGTTTATCTAAATATCAGGTTTGCTGTATATTTATATAATGAAAAATAAGTTTTTATATATTTAGTATACTTTTTTATTAAAAGTTTATTGTTATTATTTTTATTTTATTATTAAATATTTTAAGCATATTAAAATTATATATTTATAATTATAACAAAAGAAAAAATATAAAAATAATAACTTTTTTTCAGGCGTTTATTATGAGATTATCAAAATATTACTTAGAAAAATATTAAGTAAATTAATATTTTAATAATAAAAACTTTTTATTATTATTTCCAGGCGCCTCTTATCGAGCATCTCAAAAAGTTTCCGTCCTTTATTCAACCGGCTGTCCGCCGTGAAGAAATATTGAAGCGCCTCGAAGAGCCCTTAAATGATTTGTCCATTACGCGGACGTCCTTCCAATGGGGCGTCCCTGTACCTCACGGTGGGTAACTTTTATATATTAGAAAAATAATATATACTAACTTAATATATAAATAAAAAAAGAATTTTTTATAAATTTTATATTTCTTCTACTTTTTATATATTAATTTTACTTTATAATTATAAGAATAGAAAAAATAAATTCTATAAATAATATAACTAGTTAAGATGTTAAAGTGTAATAAATAAAAATATAATTTTTTTAATAATAAGATATAAATAAATATATAACAAATATGAATAATAGTTTTTATGACAATAATTAATATATAAATTAATAAAAATAGATAAAAAAATTTTCTAATAAATATTTTATAAAAATTTTACTTTTAAATAAATATTTTATATATTTTTTAAAAATATTAATATTATTTATTATTATTATATAATTTTATACTTTTTTTATAAATAATATTTTTTGTTATTGCTATTTTTACTTATTTCCATATATTAACTATAAAAAATATTTACATTATAATTTTTTATGTTATATATTTAATTTTATTAATTTATAATTTTCATTTTCGCATTGTATTTATATTTTTAGTTTAATTATTATTATATACTTTACTTTATATAATAGAAAATATATAACTTCTTAGTTTCTCTTATGCTTACTTAGATAAAAAGTATTATTACATAAAAAAATTCCTTTAATTTTTTTATTTACAGTAATTTTATTTAATATTATTTATTATAAAAGTTTTTACGTTTTTATTTATATTATTATTGATTTTTTTTATATGCATAAAAATATTTCTTGAAAAATTTTTTATATATAAAACTTTTTTATTTGCCAGATCCCGAGCACGTGCTCTATGTTTGGTTTGATGCGCTGTCCAATTATCTGACAGGCCTTGATTATCCCGATGGAGATCTCTTTTCCTATTGGCCAGCGGTATAATAATAACCCTTTTTTACTTTTACTTATGCTTTTCTTTTTCTGGAGTTTGTTTGAACTAATAAAACTTTATTTAATTATTTTTTGTGCATTAAAGATTCATGTTATTGGCAAAGACATTCTTTGGTTCCACGCAGTCATATGGCCGTCCATACTCATGTCTTGTGGCCTCACGCTCCCTTTGACTATCTTTGCTCACGGATTCGTGAATGATGCTAATGGAGAAAAAATGAGCAAATCTATTGGAAACGTCATTGATCCATTTGAGATGATTAAAAAGTAATAATAATAATAATAATAATAATAATAATAATAATAATAATAATAATAATAATAATAATAATAATAATAATAATAATAATAATAATAATAATGAAAGATACGGATCCGATACTTTTCGGTTTTTTCTATGCAAACAAGGCGTTTTTGGAAGCGATCTGCCATTTGACGAGGAGGCGCTTGTCCATATGCACAACGCGGATTTGTCTAATTCTCTGTAACATACTTTTTTAAACCTATCAACAAATAGTTTTAGAGTCTCTTAACGAATAACTTTTTAGAGGTAATTTAGTTAATCGTGGACTTTCCTTATGCAACGGATGTATTCCAGACGCTCCTTCTGGTTGACTATTAATAATAATATTATTATTATTATTTATATTTTTTATTAGAAATAATATTTTCACTTGAAGACTTGAGCAAAATTGTAGATGATTATATTAAAAACTTTGAAATTGATAAAGCAGCGAAGGAAATTCTCGCGGTTGTAGCACACGTCAATAAATATCTTACAGTTCATGAGCCTTGGTCTTTTTCTTTCCTTCTTTTCTTATAGAATTTTATCAAGTTTATTAAAAGATAATAATATTTTTACTTTTTCTTTTTTAATATAAAAATTTTTGTTAAGTTTAATGAGAAATAACCAATATTGTACTTTTCTTTACTTTTTTTGAATTATAATTATAGTTATACTTTTTATTATTATAAATTATAAAAAAATTGCTAACTTTTATATGAGAAATTTTTATTACTTAAAAAAAGGTTACTGTTCTTTTTTTTACTTTTTTTATATTATTATAACTTTTAGGAAAATCAAAGAAGACGAGCTTCGAAGGAATATTATTATTAGAAGCGTTGTTGAAGCTATATATGCTCTTACTCATTTTTTATATCCTTTTATTCCTCAGGTTTTGCTTATCATATTTAAAGAAAAAATAAAATAAAGTTTTTTATATTTATTACTTATATGTATATAAAAAAAGTTTTTCTAGTTTATTATGTTTTATATATAAATATATACATATTTAAAAGGGCTGCTCTACTGTATTTGAGAAACTTGGCACAAGCCAATCGGTAATTCCCGTTTTAGATAAGAACTTTAAAAATCTTAAAGCAGGCGAGAAAGTATACTATTATTAATTTTATGACGTTTATATAATAACTTTTTTTATTATAAAGATCAGTAGTAAAAGTATTTTGTTTCCGCGCTTAAACACTGTTAAGCAAAGTTTATGCACTACAAAACAAGTCAATAAAGAAAATTGTTGTTCAAATATTTATCCGGTATAATTATTATTATGTTTCTGCTATTATCATTATTGTTATTACTCTTGTAATCATTACTATTTTAAGGAATTGCCAAATTTTTTTTCTATGATAGATGTTCGCGTTGGGAAAATAGTGAAAGCTTGGGTATTGCCGTCCTTATTAAAACCATTATTTTTATTACTACCATTACTATTATGTAAGGCCCACCCTGAAGCTGACAAACTTTTTTGTGAACTTATTGATGTTGGCGAATCAGAGCCTCGCCCAGTGGCCTCCGGCCTCCGCGCCCATTATGAAATAACCGATTTAATAGGTTGTTTTCTTTAATTTCACAAGAGTTTTGGCAATAAACATATAGAAATATTTAAGGAAAACGAATAGTATAGCGAATAGTATTGTGTTTATATTCTATATTAAAAATAAGTAATAAAAATTAATGGGTAATAATAAGTATTGCACGTGCAGGGAAACCACATAAAACGTACAAAAAATTCTGTTATTTATACTTTATTAATTATAAAGTGTAATAAATGTACTCTCCTAGAAATTTTACTTATAATTATAATGAAAATTGATTAATACTTGTAAAAAGTCGCATGTGAGAAATTTATTATTAAAAACTTTTAATTGGACATCTATTTCTATATAATAGTACAAAAAATTTTGCTTATATTTTTTATAATTATATTTATTATTAATATTTATTATAATTTTGTTTCTTTTTTTTACTTATAAATATAATTTCTTATTTTATTTTTTAATACTAAAGTATAAATATTATAATAACTTCATACTAATAGATCGTTTTGTTCTTGTGGTGTGCAATTTAAAGCCTATGAAAATGTTGGGGTTCCAGTCATGTGGGATGGTTTTGTGCGCCAAAAGTTTGGACGGCGCTCACGTGACTATTTATTTACTTTTACTCCGATTGACGTATTATAAAAATCGTCGTTGAAGGTTGAATTTGTCGATCCGCCGTCAGGTTGCGCCGTTGGTGAACGCGTTTATATTGAAGGCCAATTAGGCCAGCCATTGAGTTCCTCTCAAGTTCAAAAAAAGAAAATTTGGGAAAAAGTTTTATTTAATTTAAAAACAGATTCTGTTGGGTTTTTTTATATTTTTGATTTTATAATTTTTTTCCTTTGAGTCTTTTGTTTTAAATTAACTTTTTATATTAAATCCTTATTTGATCTTTTTTTTTATCTGTAGAATTGCATCTTATTCTGGATTGCCGTTGCTCACCTCTGCGGGGCCTGCACGTGTGCCTTCACTATTAAATTCTATTATTTGTTAGATGGATTTATAAAAAACTCTGTTAATCGAAATAAAATGGCTTACGTTTTTTTTTCTAAAGATTGTTTTTTATTTTTTCTCTCGTTACTGTTATTGTTTTAGTCTATCCGGCCGAATTATGTGAAAAGGGATAAAGAAATTTTATACGCGGAATTTTATTAGCTATGTAACTTTTTAAATAAAAATTTTTAAGTGAATTACTAGGAAAAATAATTTCTTTGGCTTACGTGTCTTTTTTACGTTGCAGAGCATAAAGATTGAAATCTGTTACACTTGATAATAAAAATCGGAAAAGTTATTATAATTCGAATTAAAAAATAATAAAATAAACCGGTTTTTTAACTTTTATCTTTTTTAGTTTTTAAACATTTTTCTTATCGAATTCGCTTTGTAACTTGCTTGCAGGTTCTTTTATTTGTAAATGGAGCGAAGAAGGCTAAATTTTATTACAATTGAAGTTATAATCTAGTAAAGGTTAATACTCGTTGACATTCTTACACGGAAAAAAGCTACTTGAAATTACTAGATGCAGGAAATTACCGTAAAAAGTGGTATAAGGCATGAACAGTAGTATAAAAAATGTTTTTAAAGATAAAAATAATCTGGATATTACAATGTTAAATTTTTATAAATAGTAACAAGCGTTGACAACGCAGTACATACTAAAAATATTCTTTTAATTAACTTTTATATCAAAAAGTTGGTTTAACGTATTAGTAAAGTTAAAAGTCAATAAAATTTTAAAATTTCCATTATTTTTAAAAATTTAAGACAAATATATTGATTGTTTATATTTACAGTTAACACTTAAAAAATAAAAATTTGAATAGTTAAATTAATATGCTTTATTACATAAAAATTTAATAAGTGAAGTAGCCGAAGATCACGTTTACTCTGTTTTTTATCACACTTGGCTAGAAATCGCTGAACAAAAAGCTCCTAAACAGACCTGCGAAAAGAGGAGGCATCTTATTAAAAACTAAACGGGATAAACAAACAGTAAGAAGCGGGAGAACCTTTTAAAAATTCTGACTATTGACGCACGTTCATAAGTAAATATAGTTGTAACTGAAGCATACATTGAGTTTGCTTATAAAACTCTTTATTTTCAAAGTTATATCGCAATTTTAAGCCAGTCCAATAAGTTGCAGTATTGATTTTAAAGTATTTTTTCTATATTTCAAAATATTCCTAATACTAAATGCGCCCAACTACGGTGGAGCCTCACCGGAATTAACGAGAAATTTAAAGATTGTCAGCACACCTTCATCTACGGTGAAAATCCGGTCCTTTATTTTGCAATTAACTTTAAATTAGAGGAGAAAGTGGAGATTGAATTCCAAAGAGTGAAAACCACTTCTAGTATCAAAAAGTCCACCGCCGAAGCGGAAAGGATATCTGAGTACTTTTGTAAACAATAGTCCCTCTTGGTGTCTTTAATCTTCTGAACTTGTTCAGCTAAACCTTTTTTTAATATAATATAACCATAGGCGTAAACTGTTTTTGCTCTGGAAAAAAATTGTTTAAGTTTTTTTGATACGTCAAGTGGTAGTTTTCGGTCTCTGGGACTCTCACCATCTCTAACCTAATCTGAAGAATATTAAGAAAATTCTTAAAAAACCAGGATCTTCATAGAAGTTGGAAATACGAGTCTTAGAGAGTCCATGGATGGCGTGTATGAGAAGTACATCCTTGAGTGGGACAAACTCTATAAAAAAAGAATAATTAGTCTTCATTACCGCACAAGAATCTCTACAGATACCAAAAGACTTTTTAAGCCTACACCAGTGAAGATAAAACAATCCCTCTCCGAGACTTCACTCATTCCTCTACCCTTAATCAGGTGTTGGCCAAAAATTTCATGTTAAGATTGACTCTATTCTGATAGAGAGGGAGAAATTTTCAATGAGTATGGATAAGATTAAAACAAGCTTAGAGAAGATGTTCAGTTTACCGTGGATCAAGCTGGAGAAATTCCCAATAACAACAGAAAAAAGTTGACGATGATTATAAGTACCAAGCCAAGTACAAGACTCGGTCCGTTGGTATTGTTTCGCAGAACAATATTCAAGAGAAAGTCAATAAAGTTCTGGTCAACTCCAAAAAAGGAGTCACTACCATAAAGGGATGATGCAGAAGCTGGGCGTACGGCCAGAATAGAGTCAATGACAAAAAACTTCAGTCAGAGCTCCCGATTAAAAAATTCTTTTCCCTCCTCTTCTTCTCGAACCACTTAAACAATTGCTCCCCAACCGAAAAAGTTAGACGCAAAAGTAGTCACCAAGGAAGCAAGAGCCCACGTCCTTGCAGGGAAGAAGAAAAATCCTCTATAAATTGTGCCCAAAAAGCGCAATAAATTTTAGACAGTAAAAGGTTTTGGCCTCGAAAGCACTGGCTATAAATTATGCATATGATCGTGCACCGGATGGGACATCTGAAAAACACTATTGGTCTATATTTAGTTTTTGCCCTACACTTCCTATTCTGAGATTTAAAGACTATAAAAAAAAAGCTTTTGGCAATTTTGTCACAAGTAAGATTAATGTATAGAAATCTTTCAATCCTAAAAATGTTCCCGAAAGAGGTAAGGTTCTTAATTGTTTAATATCAAATTTCTTTATAAATTACTCAGAGGAAGATTTCAAAAACATTAATAGCCATCAATACTGATAAGAATCGATGCCCTGCGTTGATGACCACTTCGCAGTATGTAATTTGGTGCGGAAACCGTTTACAGAACAAAGCTTATCTTGAGGTGAAATTTATCGATAAGGAGGAGTTGTTTAGTGTGATAATAACGAGTTTATGAAACTAGCAAGATAATCACAAATGAATTAGAAAAGGCCACGGTTAAGCCAAATTCACCAAAGAAGTTTTCCTATTGCGAACCTGAAAGAGGACCTTTCGTAGCACGTGTTAATACTTTGGTTACTGGCATATCAATATGGCTACACTAATATCTATTATTTATAATCGATGTCATCTCTTCTTATATTAGGACTTCCGACGATAATCTGGAAGCTATTCATATAATGAAATTTACCCCGCTATGAAATGTTCTCTCTGCATATATTTTTGCGTTCTATACTTCTCTCTCAATGTAAAGGAGTCCGGTAGATTGCTTGTATAGGCTTTTCGTCATATTATTAGTACCAGTTACTTTCAGTATAACAAAAAAAGCTAAACATGCAAACGAATGGTCCCCTTCTTTTGCTTGCTTCACTTTGCTTTTTTCCATAGTAACACCAGTCTTCATGCAGTATTGCTTTGCAGCTTCTCTCTCGGGCGTCAAATTGGTAACTCCATAACAAAAGTTTACTTACAGTAGAAAAAGGGCGTGATGTATCCTTTTGCATTTTTTTTAATCTTTAATAATCCCTCTAGTTCGGTTGTATACACTCCACCAACTAATTAATGCACCAGGAGGTTTTAAATCTCTCTGTCAGCAACACTATATGTTTTTTTTAAATGTTGTGCTCACAAAAGCGGTGTGAGCCTATGTAATGGAAATAACTTAAAAGCGCTAGCCGCCAGCTCCTGAAGCGCTCGTATAAATCTAAAGTATTAAACTACGATCTCCATTTGTATGCTCCAAGCTTATTTTTTTCTATTTTTATACTCGTCCTAATAACCCCTATATACAATCACATGCTTTTTTTTGTTCGTGTGATGAGTGTTTTCGAACTTCAGGAAAGTTGAGGGCCACACTTTTTCGAGCCAAGAAAATTGCGAAAAGATCATATAAAGGATGTTTAAAAGCCCCGTACTCTTTTTCGCTTTGTTCTCTTGTGAAGTGCCGTATAATTCCACTAAAAAAACTAGGGCAGCTGAAAGAAAATTTTTAAAAATCTTTCTAAAGATTTGATTACCTTCTGGATCAGTAACCTCTGAAAAATATAGTGAAAGCTTTTTCAATAAATATTATATATACGTATATTATTTTTGAGAGAGTGAAAAATTTCGTCTATTATAATACGTCGGTAGAAGAATTTTCATATCCTTAAGAACTCTATCACCCGCTCCTAACCCAAAATTATATAAAAAGCCTTATTTACTTTAACAGAATTGTATTAACTCCAAAAATCCAGAACATGCAAAAAATCAATTTTTTTTGGTTTTAATAAACGTTTTTGTTCTAGTATTAACGTTAAAAACTCGGATCTATTAGCCAAACCACACTATTCTTCGTAAGGAGGCTTTTTATACCCCGTAGCAACCGAATAAAAACTTGCCCCAAGGTACAGGACATACACTATCCCATCCGAAACCATAAAGGCAAATATATATATTTTTTAAGACAACCTTTGCGTTAAAAAATGTAACTAAAAAACTATTTTTTGCGTGTTGTTATGGATGCAGACGGGTGTTTCTATTAGTGTTCTTATTAAAATGTTTCACCGAAAATTTTAGTGGCTTGTTTCGGGAAGTTCCTGGGTGATTTCCGTTTAGACGGAGAAGCTAGTTTCGCGGATGTCGGTCCTTACTAATTGTCTCGAGGTAAAACAGTGCTTAGTGCGTTCCATTACAAACGACTGACTATTATAGACCAAATTTAGTGAAAACTTACTAGGATTATTACTGATATCCGTCTTTTTTAAAATAATTCTTCTATTATTAACATTAATTACTGGTTTATCATGTCTAACTGGCCTTCGAGTCAACAAAGATGACTCGTGAAGGGCGTCACGCATGCTCATTCTTAATAGGCTACACCATGCATACAGAAGTCAGCGGCTTCTAATAATTCTACTCCACTCCCTTATGGTAATGATGAAAGGTTGCTTTTCATGAGTTCTTCACATTACGATGGTATCATTATTGTAGTTCCTTGGCATTAGTGAGTTGCTTTTCTATTTTTATCACCATGTCTTGCCCAAATGCACCTTCAACTTCATCCTGAAAAATTAAAAACCAATATGTGCTGAAATTACATAGCCCGGTCAAGTCATATATTACCATGTTAATATTTTTCAATTGTTTACTAACTTAACTAAGTTCAAACAATGTTCATAGCCATCCTTAATTCCTGCTATGCAGTCGAGGCCTTGACATCCCCACAAACTTTTATTAATTTACGGTCCTCCATTGAATCCTTTTCCTGCTCGCAGAGTTAATGTAGAATATTTATTATAGTAATAACGCATTTGGCATTTTCTATTGCACTGTATATTTTGTTTTCCATGCTTTACAGCATTCACCATGTAATAATTTCTGGTTAATCTAAGCGTTATCGATCAAGATACACAGATAAAGATCTTAGTATAAACTCTTCGTTTTTAACAGTTTAAGACCGTTATATATAAAAGTTTCAAATTCTATATATAGTAACGCGTCTTAAGAAAAATGCTCTTAATATTTACACTTTAGAGCTTCAAGCATGTTTACTCCATTCTTTGTAAAACCCATTAACAAGAAAACCCTGATGATAGTACACTATACGCTTATTAAAATATTAACAATTCTTGTAATATTACAAAAATTAATATCTGATAACCACAATGCAGTAAATCAAAGTAAAGAGAAAAAAAAATTTTATATAGCCCTACACGAACAGAAATTTGTAAAACGTAGGAGACATCACAATTTAACTGGAAGACACTTGAAGCGTTCAGGAATGCAAAACAAAAATCTCACAAAATTTTTTAAAAAAATGATCCGTGATCAAACCAATCAGTAACCAGAGAGTTAGCCAATGAAAAAACAACATGAAGTTAGTTTTCTACCAACACAACAAGCAAAAGGAAATTCTAATAAAAGTTTCATGTAAAAATTATTAATAGACGATAAATGTGTAAGCTTATTACAGCTGAACTTTATTTATCACTCACACCAGTAAAGGCAACCCAAAAAAAAATATTCGCCGTGTTCGGCTCAATATTTTTTCCACTGCGTTCCATCGTCCCTTCACGTAGAGCTTACAATTAATCTTGGCGCTGCAGAGAAGTATTACTAATAGACTGCCTCAAAATAGTGCTTGTTTCATAAAAACTTCAATTACAGCTCTTTCTCTTTATTGGTAATAGTAATTTCCTATAATTGATTTTAATGACTCGATTATAAAGTTGTATTTTCTAAACAAACTTTGAATAATCACGACGTTCAAGTCACATAAAGGATGCAAAATAGGCCTTTTGATTAGTAATGATTAAAAGCTTATTTTTATAACCATATAAAAACTTTAATTTACTTAATAATACTTTATAAAAAAACGCACACCCTCACTTAAGCGATAAGAATTAATAAATTTAGCTTCATGCAATATATCAAAAATTTTAAAAGTCCACTAGAAACATCCCCGGATTATATGATAGCAAAACGATCGTAACTAAAAAAACATCAACGGCGCACAAAATTAACGATTCATCCTCTTTAATACTTTATATCAGAAAGAAGACTGTAAAAAGCAGTAAAAAATCTTTCAAGGCAAATGCGCTTAAAAGGACAATAGTACTTAAAAAAAGCTAAAGCAATTTTTAATGCTAAATCTGTTGTTCTTTGCGGTTTCTCTTGCATAGGTTCCCTTGTTGTCTCGGGCGATAGATCTATTTTTATTGGTTACCAGCAGCCTAGTAGTTTTCCAGTGAAATTCTTAATAGTGATAGTAATAATGAAGGTTGCTCCGTTAAGATGACTGAGTTCCAAAAG